AGATTTTGACGATAAAATTTGTTTTGGTCATTTTTTCAACATATATGCTCATGTTTTAATGAATCTTTGGAAACAATGCAAAGAAAAAATTATTTTCTTTGAACTGCAACTTAAAGAGATTTAAGCGATATAAAGATATACTACAAGAAAAAGAATTGATTTAACAGCATTTACTTCTGTGTGATATTTTACAATACAGACATCATTTTTAAGAAAGTGAAAATTCCTTTTTATGGCAATGTACATATTATTTGAACACATTCCAATAAGTTCCCTTATGATGAATAAAAATACAAGAGTAGTTTGTAACAGTAGTTATGGTTACTACTTTTAAATCTACTAAAAGCAGTGATAACCAAAACTTTCACATGCATGTGGAGGCTAAAGGTAGAAATTTCAACACAGAGATAATTTCATATATTATCAAAAAACTAATGATTAACAAAAGAGAAAATATAACAGTGTTTATACAGCATCTAAAAAGGAAGAAAAGTTATTTAAATCTTAGCTATTTGGAAGTGTGTGTGTGAGATAGGTAGATAGATAGATAAAGTCCAATCGTCAATCATCCAGGAGTGGGAGAGAAATTTCCACCCAGTGAGAATGAGTTTCGCGTTGATGCTGCAACTGCATTCTAGACAGGAAAAATGAAGTGGAAGTTTATGTCCGGCCTTTTATAGTCTTGAAATAGTGCTCCTTAATGGACATCTTAGTAACAGTAACAGTAATCCCAACAATATCAAATTATAACAAAATTCAAAGTTATCAATGCACATTATGATTTAATGCAAACAGCGTTATTCTTCATTGGATTAAAATTTGATAAAAATATATTTAACTAAGTTGTGTGTGATAAATATAGAAAAATCAAATCTTTAAATATTGTCTTACATGTTCAGCTAAAGGGAACCTCTTGAAAAAGTGTGATTTGAAGATTGGAAGTGATAAGATGGTTACTTCAGTTTCATTGAAGTTTGAAGGATGTATGTGGCTCTGTAAGAAAGAACAACATTCATGTAACATTTTAGCTGCAGGATTTTGTTAAAAAGTTGCTTTTAAAATGTAAAAATAGTTTGTGTAAATTATACAACTTACATACACAAAATCTGACATCATTTGTTCGCATTAATGTAAGTTGTAAGAAATGAGAGAGTTGAGAGTTGTAATTGCTAAAATGTTATTTACAAAAATGTACTAAAGTTGTGTCAGTAAATACTGGTCACAGCATAACTATTACCTGTGAGAAAACTAATGATTATGTAGTGAATTACAGCTAAAAATATACATTCATACACGATGGCTGTCAATTCATCAAATGATTATGAACATTGCTGACAAGTTTGATCTATGGTTTTAGTTCACATGGAACGACAATGGTTCTTGAAGGTAACAAGTGACTTGCAATGCTTATTGTAAACGTGGCAAACTAACTTGTTCTGTACAGGGCCTGGCTTGTTTTTGCAAATTCTGTTCAGGTCATTGGTGGATTTTATGTGACTGGTGAAACCAGAGCAGTTTCTGCAGGTCTTCAGATAACATGTTGGGTCACTCATGATGAAGGGACGTAACTCCACATCTTGGTTCAATATATAAGACAGAACATAATGCAAACCAAACTTAGGTCAAATAAGATGTATGCTCCTTGTATTTTTACCAACTGATATAGCCATAATTTTTCTACGACAGGTATTTGCAGAAGGCACTTTTCAAATCAACAATGGTCTTGGTGCCAGTCTTTTGCCTCCATTCTCACACAATTTCTTAGCAGATATCTTTGGTATGCTTGTGTGACATACCACATGAGCATTTAGTTCTCTAATGTCCAGTACCAGTCTGAATTTGTTTTTCATGGGCTGAACTACTGCCATCAATAGTAACACCTCTTCTCTTACTTCCTCTTATCATGGTACAAGTATACCCTCAACTATCTATTGTTCCACTTCCTTCTCAAAATTCTCTTAATCTTCTGTCTGAGAAAAATTATTGTAACATCTGGTTTTGTTTTTTTTAATATTGGTGGCTCTTCCTTCCAAAATCATTCCACAACACAGTTGTCACTATCAAATTTTGCCGAGAAATCTTTATCATTGATCTCTATGCTCTCTGTGTCTGTCTGTTAGGGTGCTACCCTCATTGCACATTTTACTGTCCCTTTGTTATTGATAACACCTCCCAGATTTTCAATCAGATTCATTCCAATGACAATATCGATTTCTTTGGTCTAGTTATCAATCACTTTCATTCAGCCTTTAAACATATTCCATGCACTGTCAGGTCAGCATATTTGTGCTGATCCCTTTGCATCTGACCTCTCTTCCATCCATGGCTATTACATATTTCCTTCCACTCAAAGTGGTTGCTAAATTTAGTGTTATTAGTGTGTTTGTGCACCTCGTATCCACAAGGGCTCTTGTCTTCTTGTCTTCAACCATTATGTCTCTTGTCAGTAGCTGTCTTTTGAGTGCCACTTCTGGCTCAAGTGGGTAGTTACCCGGTGCAAGAGACCTCCTTTCATCATTTCCCTGTATCGAGCAATATGGCCTGACTCACCCACATCTATAACAGATGGGATCTTGACTGTGCTTTAGTTTTACAATCTTTGATCAAATGAGGCCACTTATGCTGAAAACACTGATATCTGAATTTCTAAGGTTGTATGGGACCTTCTTTTGCTGTCACCACTGCATCCAAGTCACATGCTATATTAACAGCCAAGACCTTTGTGCTTACTAATAAATCACTCATTTCCATTTTCTCAAAACCAGGCAGTTGCTGCAAGGATGTTGACATGTCACTTGGAAATCCAGTAACAAATGCTAATTTAACAATCTGTTCAAGACCTATCCCCTATGAGTTCTGTTAATTGTCCATGTTATTGCCATAAACATTGACTGATTCTTCAGTCCATCTGATTTCCTTCAGTTTTCCATAGGCATCGTCCATGAATGCACTCTTCAAGTTTTGTTCATTTAGATCAGCGTCCTTCTGATCATCACCACCACCAGCAAATGGTTTCATATCCAGTTCCCAGTGAAAATTTACTTTACTCATTGTGAACTGGTTGTCAAAATAGCTTGTAATTTGAGTTCACTTTGGCAATGATAAATCTCTTCTTCTTCCATTCTCTACCTATTTGTTCACAGCAGAAAAACCCACGCTCAACTCTGCGATGGTTGTAAGATTTCACACAATGCCACCTTCCCCTATTCGTAAATTCTATTTTGCTTATCTCCCCTTTGACCATCGGAAATTTCTGTGATACCAGTAAAAAAAATCTTGTATTTGCAAGAATATGTTTTTAAAGATTCGCCTTATGAGCAGTCATTTTTTTGTTTTTGTTTTTTTCCTTCATTTTGCCAACAACATATTTCACAATGCTTCACCAGAAATGTAGTTACACAAGAACAAATATGGTAGGAAGGGATTAGTAGTAATTTTCAGTCTTTTATGTTAAACACAGTTAAAGACTTTAAAAAAAAATTGTTTGGCATACTATGCTGGATTGTCAGGTAACCTCTGAATTTATAAAAAATAGTCCAAAGCCTTCGATTGGGTTGATCATCATTTCTGGGGTGTTATGCAGCTGGATTTAAGCCGTACTTTAGCATCTTGACCTCATGTATGTGTTCTGCAGAGCTATGATTGAAGTGAAGGAGAGAAGGTCGAAGCCTTTGATGAAGGTTGTCCAGATCTATTCACCCATGCTGTACATCCTTGAGCTGGAAACTTCTGACTCCTGCCCTATGCAGAATTTGTTGCCTGGTGCAACAGACTGAGGAGGTCAACAAGGAAATCTGGGTTGTATGAGATGATAACAGGGGCCAAAATTTGTGGTTGGGTTTCTGAAGAGCTTGCCCTCCTCTTAGTCTTTTTAATCAGATGAGCATTGCAAGATACACGATGCACAGTTTGGTTCTGACCTCCACCTGGAGACAAATTAGTCAGAGATATTGGAAAAGGTTGCATTTGTGAGTGAAAAAATACATTGATTTGGAAGTTCTTGCAAAAATCAGATAATAGTTAGATTTTAATGAAACTTTCAGAACTTATTCAGAAATGATTGAAATTAATTTAAAACTTTTCTTTTTTGAAAAAATATTTTTTTATATTTTTTATTCCTCACTTATTTAATTTTATGGAATTTCGAGAAATACTTTTTTGTATCACTTAAACATTCAATGAATAATGAATTTTTACATGAATTGTTTTCATTTTGTTTTGTTTTTTTTCATTTTAATTAGAATAATTTCTTTTAAAGTTCTTTATTAATTTGTATTGGTCAGGTTATTGTCATTATATTAAAACTGATTTACTAATCATAAATGAAAAAGCTCACTACAATTCAATGACTCCTAGTATTTAAAAAAAATATCAATTTTTTTCTGTATGCATAAAAACGTATCAATGACATTATCGACATGTTTATAATTTAAAATTAGAGAAAGAGAGAAGGTAAAACTTCCAAGTTTCTACATTTTGTTCTGCTTCAAATTAAAAGGATGTAATAGCAGATAAAGCCTTTCTATTTTTTACAATCAATTATTTTCCTCCAATTGAACTTGGAGTGAGATGTCTTGATCCGAGAGTCCATGCAAGCAGGTTGCAATCATTTTAGGAACTTGAAGGATGTTAAGCATAGGACGTTGTATAGAGCCATGATCATCCACGGCACGTAGAAGAAAGACATTTATTTTAGCATAAAGTTTTAGACAAGTCTGACCGGTTCAATATTACGTATTAAAAAAACACGAGTTATTTCCCTTTCATTACCATTGTTCTGGATGTTTTAGGCTAAAGGAAATTTGAGTTATTTTTTTTTTTTTCTTCCTTGCTTTTTTTATTTTTCGGATATTTTTTTTAAATTTCTTAAAGAAAATAATATCAGCGACTGTCAACGCACATAAAATACATTATTCTAAAGTTCTTAATCTTGTTATTCGGTTTGTTTACACGTCTGAACCGATGTCAAGCAGACACAAAAAAAAAGTTGTTTAAAAAAAATGTCTTCGGTTTTCGTACAAATTGGACAGGGAGGAAATCAACTCGGAGAGACATTTTTTAATACAGTCTTAAGACCTGAGGATATTAAACGTAACAGAAGATGGTGTGTAATTTACTATTTTGACGTGTACTTTATTTTTCATATAAATTTAGTTGTTGCTATGACATCGAACGGCGTATTTTATATGGAAGATCATAAGCACTATAACTATATCAAACGCTGAGCAATTTTTAAACATGAGAGAAACTAAAAAAAATAAAGATAAAAATAAGACTTGATTAGGACTAATTTGGCTGTTTTAATTTGTTTTAAGTTTATATCTTAAAATTACTTAAAAACTCAAACGTAAAACTAAAAAAGCTTTCTGATTCTCTATTCTCTATTAATTTCTATTCACAGTCCTGCCTTCCAATTTCTTGATAATAAACTCCGTTCAGTAAATGTGGACAGTGAACGGAAAGTGATAAACCAACTTAAAAAAAATCCACTTTTAAGGTAATTTGATTTCTTCTTTTTTTTTCTTTTTTTATTTGTGCGTGTGATGTACATACAGTCCATCCACTGGAATTATTATGCAAATCATCTAAACCTCAATAACTCGAAATTGCTTTGAAAAATCTTTGTCAAATTTTAAATGGTTAATTTAGATGTCAAAACAAGGCTTGAGCTAAATTTTTAGGTAGTTTCAACATATTTTATTAAAGTTACTGGATTTATTATAAAAACTGCAATCTGAAGTTGTTTTGCAGATTAAACAAAATTAGTTTAAGGAAGGCCTCAGAAATCTAATAAAACTATTTTTTCTTTTTTTCTATAATATATGTTGCAACATGGGTAATGGAAATGATTTAACAAATGCTGAAAAACAGACAAGAGCAAAGTTTTTGAGTTCAGGAATGTCCACTTAGGAGCTTTGCAGAGATCATTGAACAATAAGGAGGGCTGTTGAAAATATAGCTAAGTTGAGAACTTGTCTCCTCGAGGCGAATGTAAAGTAAAGCAAGTTATAGTGAAACAACCATTTTTGACCAGTGCTCAGATCTTTTGAAGAGACTGTTATTGAAGGAATCAAGAGCGAAAGAGGTGTAGAATACTTTGCAAATTGCTCCTAGGCAAATTGCTCTCAGTGGAGCAAATATTTTTAAACATTAAAATTGGGCCAAGAAATACATCAAAATTGATTTTTCTAAACTAACGTAATTTTCATGGACAAATCTCTGGTGACACTCAATGGATGGGCCACAGAATGGATTTTAATTGATGAAGATGTATCTGTGGTTAGAAGGCAGCAAGGTGGCAGCAGAGATAATAATATGGGCTGGAATTGTCAGTTAAACTATTACTGGACCATTCAAAGTTGGTAATAGAGTTAAACTGAATAGTGCTAACTACCATGATTCCATTGACAAGACTTTTTTTGAATGTTACAAATCTCAGCCATGTGGTTTTAAAGTGAAGTATGACAATGCTCTTTCTCATCTAAGCTTATCTGTGAATTTTTTTAGTGTAAAAAACAGGAGAGAAAATCATGGAATTGTTACCATCAAGTCCCAATCTGAATCTGATCAAAAATTTATGGCCAATTGTGAAGATGAAATTATATGAAGGTGACAAACAATATAACAGCATAGTAGACCTATGGGAAAATTAAAATCACAATGTCATAATTGAACCTGCTGAAGTAAAGAATTTAACAAAATCAATGGATAATAGATTGCTGCATGTTATTGAGATAAGTGGTCACTATGTTAAGATATAAATGATTCAGAGACTTATCATATATGTTTTTTATTCATTCTATTATAAATGTTGATTAATTGTTGATGATTTTATTACCTTGTTATTGAAGTAAAAAGTAACTTCAGACTGCAATTTTTATAATAAATCCAATAACTTTTATAAAACATGTTGAAACTACCTAAAAGTTTAACTCAAGCTTTGTTTTGATGTCTAAATTGTTCAAAGTTTGACAAAAATCTTTCAAAGCAATTTCGACATTGAAGTTTATGGGATTTGCATAGTAACATCTGACAGACTGTATATATATATCTAAAAGGCAATTGAATGAAAAAGTAGAAAAATTCTGTGTTTCATCCTCTGAAAGAACTTAATGTTCTTATTGATAGAATTATATGTGTTTAGTGGGAGGGAAAGATATAAATAAGAATGTCGCTTATGCACTGGTGGGAAACACTGAAGATGTGGTAACAGTAAATTTTAAATTTCTGAGTTTTAAAATTTTTTAATTTAAAATTAAAAAAAATTTAAATTATATTTTTTAAATTGAAATTTTGTTAAAATTTAGAATTAAGAAATTTTAAAACAAAAATTAAAAAAAAAAAATTATGATTCATCCAGCATTAAAGGAGGAGGGGTACAATGCCAACTTGAATTTTTAACCTCAAATTAATCCAAGAGATATGAATAACAGGCAGAGAACCAGAAACGTTATTTGGTTCAATCCCCCACTTCAATATGCAAGGAAAAACTAACGTTGCAAAACTATTTTTTGGCCTTTTGGAAAAGCATTTCCCTAAGTCATCTGAATTATTAAAAGTATTCAACAGGAACGCCATTAAATTAAGTTATAGCTGTATGAGCAATTTAAATAATTTGATAAAAATGCAAAATGCTAAGATCTTAAATATAAATGATTCAAGAAATAATGAAAGAAGCAGTTTATGTAACTGTAGAAAATTTGAAAACTTATGAAAATGTCCTAAATGGGATATGCTGCACAGAGGAGGTGGTCTACTAGGATGAAGTTAGTGATGACAGTAGCCAAAAGAAGATCTATATAGATTGTACTTAAGACCCATTCAAAAAACACTGGTATAATCACACTTCCACTTTCAGGTTGAAAAAATGCAAGCACAACACGAAACTGGCAGACCATGTTTGGAAATTAAAGGATGAACATGGCAAAAGCCCAAAGTGGAGTATCTTAAAAAAAGTCAAACCTTGCAGAACAAGTGGTATCAATGGTAGGTTTTGTCAGGAAAAGAAGTTGACTATAGCAACATATAAGAACAGCCATATGTTGTTAAATGGTAAAACTCAGATAATGTTCAGGTGTAGACATAAAAGTGAAAACATTCTTGGTCTTCAGATGAAGAATAATAAATTTATTTTTTTATTTTTGCTTACACTGTCTCCCCTTCTTGACTTCTGGTGCCATGGATGAATAATTCTAGTATGGTATGGCATTACGAACACTTGTTGCCTGTGCTTGAAGAGGCCTGATGGTTGAAAACAAGGTAGTGTGTGGTTATATAAGGTGTTTTTACCCCTTTATTATATTTAATTGCCCTGCATGTCTTTTTTAAAGATTGAGCACTTTTTTTATATGTCCGTTTTTTGGTACAGTATTTATTCTGACCTCTTAACAGATTTATGTTTATATATATATATATATATATATATATATATATATATATATATATATATATATCTCAGAGTAAAGATCAACATATACAGATCAGTCATTTTCTCAACCCTTCTCTCTGGTGCTGAAACTTGGACCCTGTATTGCAAACACATAAATCAAATTGACACCTTTCACATGTGCTGTCTTCATGTCGTATGTGATATAAAATGGGATGACTTGGTCAAGAATAGTGCAATACTGAAGAAATATAACAACATCACAGGCACTGAAACCATTCTAGCAAAGATACAACTTAGGTGGGCTGGTCAAGTTGTGAGAATGGATGAGCATAGGCTTCCAAAAAAAGGTGCTGTATGGACAACTACCAAACTCCAGGTGTTCAATTGAACATCCACTCTTACGTTACAAAGACAAATTGAAAGACAATTTGAAACTTTGATCTGAAAACCTGGGAAGCCCAAGCATCAAACTGAAAGGAGAGGTGTAAAACATGTTTAATTAAGTTAAAGGGTTTTGAAGACAGTAGACTGAAGCACCATGATCAGCTTCATCAAGCTCTAAAGCAGAGACACCATCAAAGTCCTGCTTTAACAAATTTCATCTGTCAGTGTGGCTTTGTCACCCACAGCAAGGCTGAGCTAGTATCACACTTAAGAAAGCACAAATGAAATATGCCTTTCCCTTACCTGATTTTCTGTATAATAGCCCCTGCTAGCATGCATAAGTGTAAAACAAAAGGCACCATCCAATGCTGACCCTCATTTATCATTCACAATAGGAGAGTTCACCATATATATATATATATAAACAATTCTGTTTCAAGATCTCAAACTTTTTACACTTTCAGGGATGAAAATCTGATTTGTGGGCTGAAAGGATGTGGCTCCAACTGGGCTATGGGTAAGTCCTCCACTAAAATGATTTATTACAATTTTAGTGACTCAACTCATTTTGGATAATTTTTACTGTCTTTTATAATGACTTAAATGTCTCTTGTATAATTTACATTGCATTTAACAATCCAGATCTTTCAACATTGTTTTCGATTCAGAAACAAACAATATTGTGAAAATTTTAAGTGGCTTAAAAAAAAGTGCTGGTCTACTTTTTAGTCATTATTGGTGGACACTCAGTAAAGTCATAAAGACTTTACTGTATATCCCCTGTCACTTTTCCAAAATAAAGCAATATGGTGGGGAGGGCAACAAATGATATATTTGGCATATATCTTACACTGTTACCAGAGTACCAGTAAATAAGGATACAATCTTTTGACGTGAGAACATAAGGTTGGGGTGACATTAAACAAATATATTGCATTTCATTGAGTATAAGTATAAAGGAATGCAAGCACAAATGACCTGTTGATCTGGGGCTGAGAAACAAATAACCTGTTCTCATACCCCCATCCCTGTTGTACACATGTGTACACACTCAATCAAAAAAATAATAAAATGAAAATTCAAATAATATTTACAGTTGTATATAGGAGGCACAGTGGAATAATGGATAGCAGCTTGGATTGAAGAATCGGAGAGCCGTGTTTGAATTCCAGTCAAATCCATTATATTCACTTACCTGCTAATACCCTTGGGAAAGGTATGAATCCTCTTCTTCTCCCCCCTAGCTATGGGTAAATAGCAGGACAGACTGGGTTCTATAGCCTCAGATGACAACTGGTCTATCACAGAAAGAAATGGCAACCTACTGTGGGAAAAAAAAATTTGCTTTGTCAGTCATATTGAAAGATACATGATCGCCTAAGTGTGTATCATGCATGGCACATAACTGATGATATAGTTTTGCCAACTATCCTTTATGTTAAATAAAGAATGTTACCAGGATTGAACTCAGAAACTCAAATTAATAAAAGTATGTGTGATATTATTATTATAAGCTGGCCCATCTACTAATTAAAATGAACTCTTCCAGGTTAATAATAAAAAATAAACTTCCGGTATTCGTTTGTTGGAGGAGAGGATTTGAGAGTACTTGGTGAATCTATGCTCGTAAGCCAAAACAATTAGTAGCAGTGTAGTTAAAATGTCATCCAAGTGTAAACTGAAAACTCTTCCAGAGTTTAAAGAAGGCCAAATGGATTATGAAACCTGAATTGATTGATTGATTTAGTTTTTCTTACAGCTTATTGACCTTTTGCAGGTTATTTAAAGCTGGAAAATATTTTTAGATTGTAAAAATTTTTTTAAGATAATAATGATTTACTGATATAATTTTTACCAATTAACCCTTATCTGAGGAGAGAAGAGGTGGATTCATACCTTTCCAAGGGTGTTTGCAAGTAAGTGAATATAATGACCCCTGATTGGAATTGAAACTCAACTCTCCATGTTCCAATTCTAAGCCATTATCCATTACACTAGACACATATCTAAGCTTACATCACCTTGTATTCCCAAGTGGTCACCCATCTAGGTACTGACCAAACTTGACATTGATTAACTTTGGTGATCATACAAGAGCCAGTGTTTTAATGTGATATGGCCGTAGGCCTATAAAATCTGGAGGAAAAAAATTGTGGTTTAAAGTGGGGTTAATGGTTGTACCGTGGAAAAATTCCCAAGCCCACTTAGCATTTCCACAATTTGGGATGTTTCAGGTGTCAAGCAATAGACTCAGCCCTCTCCCAAGAGAAAGGTAATGCTTGAGGGAAGACCCTTTGGGGCTTGGGCTTAATAGAAGAATATAAATTCCAGCCAAAGGCAAATGGATTTTATATATCCCCAGTAGAAAAACCATAAGTTTATACAGAACTCAGTGGGCAGAACCAATTTCAACTGCGGGTTGAACAAGTCAACTTATTAAAGCACAAGTTTACATTAATTATTGAGGTACCAAGGGAAAATAAAAGGAGGAAAAAATAACCTATTGCATGTTGATGACAGGATTACTCCATGTTTTAATTACAGATCTCACAAACATTGGGCCCGTAGTTGTTCTCATGACAATGAGAGTGAAGCTGGAGCTGTCCAGATTTTATTAATGGCTTCAGAAGCATCACTAAATCAAGTCATAAATTACTTTTGATTTTGTTCATCTAGACCTGAATTGCTTGAAAACAGTGTGTGAACAAGCATGGCTTACCATTTTTTTTAGATACTCTTGATATAGATAAAAAAAAAACAGTTATAGCTGAACCATCAAATTCCACATACAAACTTAGAAATGGATGAAGGGTAGGAGCTCTGCAAAGTGTCAGCATACTTTGTGCCATGGCTGGAAAAAAGTCATAATAAAAGCTGATGTAGTAGACTGCAATATATCATTGTTTGAGTAAGTATTCAATGCTTGAAGAGGGGATGATGGTTGACTTAAAAAAAAACCTGGTGAAAGCTTTTGGTAAATTTCCTCAGCCAATTATGCCCAGTTGTGGGCACTACAAAGAGACAGTACAAGAATGGGTGGAAAAAATTTTGAAAATTTGTTCTGTATAAACAGTTTGACCTGAACTGCTGATTGTTACTTGATGTGAAAATGAGCTAGTTGATGCTGTAAAAAAAAGATATCCGATTTGTGATGTACACAGACTGTATGAAAAGGTCCAGCCTTGTTCGGTAATATCCATGTGTCTTTGCTCTTTATTAAATCAAACTCTGTGACAATGAACTTGAAATTTTGGTGGTTATTTTTTTACAGATATACTGCATGTACAAATAACAAAATGAGAACTATAATACATTTTTCATCAACTCTTCTTTTCTTCTTTATGTGCTGTGTCTCCTCAAAGATTGTGGTTCTCCACCATTTTTCGTCTTTTGTGTATATTAATAAATTTTGCTTTCTGTTGTTTCCCTAAACCATGTTCCACTATCCATTTACTCAAGCATCATTTTTTCCTCTGTCCCTCTTGCCTTTCCATCCTGTGAGTATTTCTTTCCTGTACCCTAAAAATTTCAACCTTTTGTTCCTGATGCTAAGCTAAATTTGTTTTTACCAAACAAAAAATTTTCATTGCTCAGTAAAACCCTATCATTGGGTGTTTTGTTGTTTTTAGTCATCTTTGAGAAGATTGTCCAGCACTCACTGCCATACAGGAGGACAGATATCATGTAACAATTTAGAACTCATTTTTCCTTGTTTCTAGCAAAGTTCTATTTCTATTAATATTCTGCTTAGCTTTTGGAATGCATCTTTGGCTAACTTTCAGATTTCTGTGTCACACTTTCTATCCTCTGTTAAAACATTTTCTCTATATGGGTGTTTTGGGACAACTTGAACCATTAAAACACTTTCTTTAGATTGCGTATTTTGGGACACATTGAATCATTAAAACACTTTCTTTAGATTGCGTATTTTGGGACACCTTGAATCATTCCTCATGAACAATGGAGGTGAATTCAATAATGAATCCGTGAGAGATTTATTTGCTATTTGACTTCTGAACATAAGAGTAGTGTCAATGGAATAATGGTACCTGAGAAAGACTAAATCAAATCCTATTTATCAGTGTGAAACAGATTATCAAGGAAACTAATTGCAGTGTAAAGATAGCTTTGACCTGGACTGTAATTGCCAGGAATTTTTGATGGAATTTATGTGGGTTTTCACTAAACCAATTGGTTTTTGGAAAGAATCCAACTTTGCCCAAAATTATAAATGGCACACAATTGACATTAGAACAAAAAACAAACTCTCAAGTAGAGTCAGAAAACCTAAATGCCATGCACAAGGCAAGAGAGGAGTTTATTAAAAAAAAATGAAGCAAATGAGAGAATACTCAAAGCTCTTCATTAAGTGAGATAGAAAACTGAGCTGGAATCACTATTGGAAGAAAAGGAAGTGATAAAGTAAATGAGGAGGAATTAGAAAAACTGCAGTCACTTATTGGTCAATTGATCTGGGTGGGCACACAAACACATCCAGGTGTGTCTTTTGATGTGTGTGAACTAAGCAGAGTAACTGAAGAAGCACAAATTGAACAAGGTGTATGTGAATAAGATAGTAAATAAAATAAAGGAAAGAAGTGGAGACTGAATGCTTTAGTGATGCATCATTTGGTAATTTGAATGAAGGAGGGTCCCAGGGATGCTGTGTTATCTTCCTTAGTAGCAATAAAAGATATTTGTGAGCATGGTAGTTGAGATGAGTTTGATCGTTTGTGAAATCTACTATAGCTGCAGAAAATTTAGCCCTGCTTGATGCTGTCTCAGAGCTATTTTGAAACAGGGATTACAAATCAGTAAAGACTCTCCTATTGTGAAATACTAATGTAGACAATAAAGCCCTTGTTGAGTCTGTGTACTCAACAAAACTGGTATATGATAATCGGCTCTCGATAGATATATCCTTAGGTATATGATTGAACAAGGAGATATACATGCAGTCAGCTCACCAACTGACAAATGCTTGTCAAGAGTGAGGTATCTACAGATACCCTAGTGAAGATAAGGAAAACCATTGAAAAAAATTGAAAATGGATAAGACTTTAATTAACTCTTTCTGTCCTTTTGTTTAATTTGAAAATTGAAAAACAATATCATTTTCAGTTGTTTATTTACAAGAATTAAAATAAACTTAATATTTATATATATTTTCTTTATATGCTTTATTATAACTTGACAGATTTGGTAAACCTATTAATATAATTGTATGCCATAAATAATAAAAGTTAGCTGCAATGAGCATCCATAACAACAATTGGTAAGCAGTAAAAATCAGAACAAATGAGAGAAATGGTTACACTGTTTTGATGAATGAACAACTTTTTTATTTTATGTTTTTTTGTTTTTTTCAAATCAAAAAATATTGTCAGCAGCTCTACAATTTGTGGACTTTGATTTTCAACCATTTTGACAACTTCTGGTTATTGTATTGCATTGTTCTACAATCAGTAGTCAACTTCTGGTTATTGTATTGCATTGTTCTACAATCAGTAGTCAACTTCTTGCAATAAAATTGCTAACACAGCTCACTCACATCCATAGTCAACAAAACTGCCTTTCTGGAATCAAAGTTTTTTTTATGATGGTTTTTTTTTTTCACAAGTAACTATTTTAAATCTTTGAATGTTAAACTTTGCTTTTGAGTTCATTTGAACTTATTATTCTTTTTTTTGCAGTTTAGTCACTGGTCAGTGCCTATTATAAAAATTAACCAATCCTAAAAAAAGGATTCCAAATTCTTTTTTATTAATAGGTATAGATACCCCTGAAATTTTCTTAATTAACTTTGGATCTGGTGCAATACCATCTTTTGAAATTTGGTACCATAAATATGATATTGTATTACAATCAATTTCACATTTGTCTCTGTTTATTGTCATCCCTGCATTTTTTTTTAACTTGTTTAACACATGTTCTGGTTTTTGTTTTAATTCATCTTTAATGGTAGTACCAAGGCAAATATCATCTTGATAAATAATCATATTACTGAATTTGTCAGCTAACATGTTTTCCATTGCTCTCTGAAGAATGGTACTTGTCATTTCAGTCCAAAAGGCATTCTTGTCCATTTTAATAATTCTGCAGGTGGAGGAAGATTGTTGTAATTCCCTTTAATTTATCATCAATTTGTATTTGATTGTAGGCTGATTTTAACTCAGTTTTTGCAAAACATTTCATCCCCAATAATTTGTGGATAGGGTTTTTGATATTGAGAATAGGAAAAGAATCTGAGCGTATTTTACTGGTATTTGTTTCAACTTTGCAATTTTTGCTTTCAAACACAAGTCAAGTATATTGAAACTATATCCAAGATGGTATCAAGAAGTTGCCCAACTGTGATTGTATTGTTCAATGGAAATATGTATTGGTACCAAGCCTACTCAGTCAGTCTGAAATTATTTTTATCAGTCTTTTAACAAATACTCTTGAAGTAAATCACATGTCCATTTCAAAACCAGTCAATTTTTGGTTCAAGATGATAAATGTTAAGAATGACCAGTCAACAGCAAAATACTAGAAAAGAACTTTCCTATATCATTCCATATATAATGTCCCTTTTAAAGAGAGAACATGAAATTGTTGTTCTTGGGTTTTAGATTAAGGTAAGATAAAAAAGATGTCTCGTTTTGTTACAATTCAAATTATTTCTGTTATACTCTGCTTTAAATTAGAACTCTTTCTGATTCACACTACATTAAAACCTATCAGCTGGATGTGAATGCTACAAAACAAAACTAAAAATGGAAAAATTTCTCTCTGCACATGGGCTCCGTGAATCACATCCAGCTCACTAAACAAATCTCCTTCCCAATATAAAATGCAATTTAAAAGGAGCCAATCATGAACATTGTTGCTAAAGCAAAAGCATGAAGACTGAATTGTGTATTCAAGCCATCTGTTTTTAAGGATGTTGCTCACAATAATGAAAGTAGTTGGTAGTTGAGTAGACAGGGTGTCATTGTCACCACCAGTAACCTCAGTCAACTGACCTGACACAAACATCAACTCAAACACCTACTGATTCTCCCCATCCTTTAGATCACTTCTCTTGTGCACAAAGTGACATTCCACTTTTATCTATATTGGCAATACAAAGAATTTTAACTTAACAATTTTTGTCTTCTTTTCTTTCTGCCTCATTAGTGGTACTTTGCTTCATTTGTTCTTATGTGCAACCATACATGTTTACAATATTTCCTCATCAGAATGTTCATATTTGTTTTTTAACAAAAAATAAATTAATAGCTTTGCACATTCACAACATCATGAACTCCAACACCTAAACCAGATTCTTTCAACAAGGAATAAATTAATTTGTTTCATCAGAGCTTTTTGCTGTTGCTAATAATATTTTTGATAAATAAATGTAACTTTGGATAAGTTTTGAACAAAATGTATAAAAAATGTGACACTATTTTCTGAACAGTTTTATATTTAAATCTTCTGTCAATTGATTTCCAAGCTTTTTGCATAACAAGTAATTAGATGAACCAGAAAAACCTGTGAAAATTTCACAGTTTTGCTATTTCAATTTCCTGATGAATCTTAATTCTTAAGTTAATGACTGAATGGCAAGTTCCACAACATTAAAATATCTATATAAATACCCCTATCATATTGTTAAATATTAGAGTTTAACAACTTTAACAAAATAAGTATAAATGCTGGTCATTATTTTAAGAAGTGGATACAAATGAAAAGATTCGAAATTGACAACTTTTTCCATTTCACTGAAACAGCTGTTAAACACTTCTCTTCTTTCTTTCATTCATTTTCTTACTGAAACTAACTAGTGTATCTGATATGTCTTTTGTTTTTCCATGCAATCAAAATGAAACAATCCATTATTTATGAGGTATTGGTGTAACGGTCATACAAACTAATGAAGGGAGGGACAAACACAATTATAATAGGATGATATAAGTTGTTTGTACCAGACTGCATTGTTCTGGCAAATCAAAATTTGTATTGTTTTTTTTTTTTTATTTTGTAGGTTACTATGACAGTAATTGTAATTTGTTGGCTGAATCTTTGAAAATTATTCAAAAAGAAAGTGAAAAATGTGAATACTTCTCAGGTATTGTTATACTGCACAGTATCTCAGGAGGAACAGGATCAGGTAAGAAAAGTTAAACAGCACCAAATTTAGACATACTAAACTACCAAGGAGGATAGTTCATTTCTTAAGTTGTTACATTAAGAATTTCTTTCAGGCAATGTATTTACAAATCTCATTAACCTTTAAAATTTTGTAGTTGACTGTAGATGATTCTGACCTCCAAGCAAGTGTATTTGAATTTTGAACTTGTGTTGTCATATCTTGTTATGGTAATATTAGCCATTTTCTTCGAAAATTCATTTAGTATTCATTGATTGAACATCTAATACTACTGCTAGATGAAACTTATAAAATCTTTCTATTAAAACAGTTTTTCAGAAAAATAGGCTTCTCAAATTCACTATTTCCAGTATTGATTGGGATTTCTTTCCTAACCTTTTGTTTAAAGAAGTTTCGAATGTCAACATCTTGATTATATCATTATTTTCTCTTTAAGTTACATGTGATATTCATTTTAGTTATTGCTGCTGTTAAGTGAATAATATCTGTTATTAGGTTCTGTTAAATCAGGTGATTTCTGTTATTTGGTACAGTTCTTTGTGATTCTGCAATGCCAGTCCATGAGGTTTGAAACATGATGGTCCTCTCTAAGACTTACAGGATTCATTTACTCAGCCATTTTTTTATCAATGATCTAAGAAAGCAGTTGTGTACAGTTTGGACATTTCTGAATGGATTGGTTGCTATGTATAACATCCACATGAAAGTCTCAATCTAGTGAGGCTATTTAAGAACATGACTTTAGTTTTAGATCAATACCTTGTTTATATTCAATTTCATTATCTCCAATATAAGTAATCCATATACTGAGGTATTTGAAGTGTTTAGTATTTATTAATTCCACATCCTGATTTTTTTTTAATGGGTTCAGGGTATGTGCCATCACCACTTTCATTCTAATTCCAGATCATAGTTTCTGTTTTTAAAATTATCTTGATTGAAATCAACAGTGAGTGGTACAACTGAGGGGCCTTGAAAAAGAATATAGTAAAAAGGGAATAATACTTGTTAATAATTCAGGATTTTTACGGTTAACCTTGTACTTGGCTTAGAAACAAAAAAGAGTCATTACCAAACATATCTGACAGATAATCCAGATATTATTGATGATTTGCCTGTGACCTAAATTTGGCTAATCACAAGTTTTCAAGCTGTTTCAGGTCATTTAAATCACCTGACAGTGACATTAGAGTGAGCAAGTTTTTATAGTATCTATCTATGCCTTTAAAATACTTTTGCTGTTATCTACTTGAAATCCAGAGATGAGAAATCATAAAAGCTCTGTGGCTCATTGATTCACTGATTGTGACCTTAAGATAAACTGTTTCAATTGGTCATTTAAATGATTGGTCAGATTTAGTTTTCACTAAAAGTCATTTCAGTTATTCCATCTTTATTGCAGCTGTAGCAGTTTTATTAGTAAAAAGTTGGAAACTTTTTTGGTATTTGAGTTACCTTTTAACTAGCCTAGAAACCATCCTTTGGGCAGACTTTAGGCTAGATCCTACAGACTGCTTTTGCACCTTTGACCTTTTACCTTCAGCATCCTCTGTACATAAAAGTTATAAGAATTTAGAAATGATAAAATTATTTTATCTTTATTCAACACCTTAATTTGGCATAATCTTTTTTTGTAGATGCAACCAATCTCCATAGTTTGTTTGCATTTTGTGACGTGTAGTGGATGGGTTAATTGTGTGGTAATATTTGTTGAGAATAGGTTGCGTGTCAATTAACTATTTCCACTAACATCAAAATAAAATACAAAATTCAACTGAATTGTTTTATAACGTAACAATAAATTTATTTAGGTTGACGTACAATATGCACAAAAGGATAGGGCAGAGTCGTGTCCCTTTAACTTGGAATATTTGTACCAGAGTTCATATTAAGAATAAAACATATTATATTAGAAACTGATAAAACATTTATATACAATTCAAAATGATGTACAAATAGAATATAGGTATATGTTATGTTGGCAAATGTGTATGATGTTTTAGGTTTCAGAATGTCTTTCTTGTAAGAGTTCAGAAAGTTCTTAAGAAGTAATTTACCTTTCACTGTAATATTTTTAAGGTCGTTCACATGTAGATGTTTACTTAATAAATAGTAAATGTAATTTACTTTAGGTAAGCAATATCTAAGGAATAATGTCCACAGAATTGGTAGAGTTGAAATGTTAGCGAGTCAGCATTGAGGAGTTTTTTTGGCAGCAAACTCTGGTTTCGAATGACGTGGAGTAAGTTAGCAATTCTCTGTGGTACTGTTACTGACTTTCTAAAGTTGGTAATTGTCTTTAACGTCTGGTCAGCAATGACTAAGACGGGAGTCGGTGAAGGTTACATCTTGAAACTTGGTAATTACTGCTTGAAAGGTTCACATGTGTTCGGTTTTTATAATAGCTGAGTGGCTCCCAGCATATGAGCGGGAAAACAGATTGGTCACATGCAGGCGGTTTGATTGGTCGGAACTGACCAATCAGCAAGCCAGATTGGAGGTGATTGACCAATAAATACTTGTTATATTGTCTGAAAGTAGAATTTGGCTTACCAGATAGGAAGAGTGCATTTCCTACAAAGAGGTAAGGCTGGTTGTGTTGTGGGAGATTCCACAGACGAAAAGCAAAATTAAAGTTAAACCTTTCACTCTGTTTGATATTTAAATTTAACTTTAAATGAGTTATTTATTTAATTTTTAATCATGTGTAACTACAGTAGTTACTACCTGTTACTTTAGGTTGTTTATGATTTGCAGAGATCGAAAAACACGGATGGATGGACACACTGGATACACTGCACTTTATTTATATAGATTTTTATCTAAATAAAAAGAAGCAAATTATACAGCCAATTTTGCTTGCTTTCTTCCATTTTTGATGTTAGAATCAATAAACAAAAATTTACAAGATTAAAAAAATACATACTATGTAACAGCTATCACAAAAATAATCAAAAGAGATTTTTTTGATTGCAGTTAAAAAAAATGATAAACACATATCATCATCTGCTAACAAAAACAAAACAAACATTGCAGATTACCCAATATATATAAATTGTAGTACACTGGTTAATATGGCTGAAAAGAAATCAACCTCTGAATGTTTTCCTTTTTAAAATATTTTGGCTGCATTTTATTTCATGATTCAAAGAAATTAAATGCAGTAATGTACTTTAAATAAGTTAATGATTATGTCTGTATTTGGCTTTATTCTCCAACATTTAATATCTCTAACATATATGGCTTCTGTGAATTGTACATCTTTCTTAAAAAATAAATTGAAACATCTAATACCAGATATAATTGCAGAAAGTTCTCTATATATATGTTTTCACATTCATGATGATGATTTTGTAAAAGCAATTAAATATTTATATTAATTTTAATATAAAATGCTAACAAAATTTAGATTTCTTAATTGTTGTTGGGCTATCTGTAAGATTTTTGTTACCTTCTGTTACCTTTTTTTATTTCCTTAATTTTCTTTTATTTTTTATTTTCCTAATTTTCTTTTATTTTTTATTTTCTTAATTTTCTTTTATTTTTTATTTTCTTAATTTTCTTTTCTTTTTTTATTTTTAACAATTATTTCTTCTATTGTAATAAATGAAATGTACTATTTTTCATAATTGAGATTTTTTTTGTACTAAAATTACACATGTCTGCAAATAAAACACAACCTTACAAAAATACAAGTATTTTTTAACAATAGCTTTATTTCAAAATCTATCTAAATTTCAGAAATATAACACATGAGTTTGGAAATCAAAATAAGGAAGAGTAAACCTTTAAGTATTTAAGCAATTTATTAAAATCTTTCAGCTTACAAACTAAAACAAACAATACTTATTTTGTTTTGATTAATTAAAACCTTTTCCCCCCCTCCACTCTGAAGCCATCTACTCAGTGCACTTCTCTTATTATATATTAGTTTAAAAGCTGCACTCCAGAAGGCTTTTAAGCTAGCTCCTCTGGTCCAGCTTAGAAAACAGCAATGATAACTTTAAATTCCTCAATTCACTCCATGGAACTTCAAAACCTCACTTTAACTCTGATTTGGGCTATAAGTCCAATTCTGACCAAAAGACCGATTTGGGCCAAAATTCCAGTACAGGCCAAAAACTGAGTTCTTCAAATCACAAACTCTGCAGAACTTAAAAACCTCACTCCATGAAACCTCTCATTTTAACCCTTGGCATTTTGAAAAAATAAAATTGATTTCCAAAATTCACAAAGTTTGGGAGATATTTTAAACTGAATTTGAAACAAAATTTTTTAAATTCACAAAGTTTTTGTGTTACTTTAAACTGAATGTAAATTAAAAACTTTTAAAATCACTAATTTTTTTTCAGTTATTTTAAAATTTGAATTTGTAACTGTTCCCTCCCCATTTGGACACAAATCCCAATGCTGGATGTTCAAGCACCAGATGAGTATATTTTCAATCCTGGGATCATCCTGATTTCAAAAAGGTATAATATGTCTATGTAGAGCAAATTACAGCCTAAGTTAGACAGGTTTCAGGCACATGGATGGACAGACAGAATTTGCCGTTTATTTATTTAGCTTTGTTGTGAACTTCATTAAAATTTTTTATTTCTGCATGTTAATAATTTCTGTATTATTTGCATCTGAAATATAATATTTTATCACTTTATTCATATTGGAACTTCTACTTTTAAAGGCATCTCAACAATATTTTGTTATTGTATTTGAATTGTTTTTATGAATAACTTTTTTCCACAGGATTTGGATCCAGTTTAGTTAAAGCTCTCCGAGATGAATTTCCTCAGCAGTACATTTTATCCTGTGCCATTTTACCATATTCTAGTGGAGAGAATCCATTACAACACTATAACAACATATTGTCTCTTTCCAGTCTGCAAAAGTAAGAACTAAAACTTTTCTACAGAATTTTATCTGATGCTATGGCCAACAACAAGAATATATTTCTTTGTAAATCTAGTGTTGCAAAATAAGATTTTATTATTTAATATCACATGTGATAAGGAATGAAATATTTTATCACTCTTTTAATACAGATTTTACAAAAAGTACTTGAGGCATCACAATGAAGCAATTAAAGAAAATATCCTGAGATTTCTCTTTAAAAGCAATGAGGTGGCACAGTCTGAAGAGGATGTTTTTCAATGCCCAAGTTCTCTAAATATGTCTTGGCCAAAATAATTAATAAGGTTAAAAAAATGTTGAAAATATCAAAGATTAATAATTAATTAAAATGATAGGTTAGGGAATGTTTAATTAGAAAAGAAACTGATTTAATTGTATTATTTTTAGCATTCCTTTGAAATAAAATCAGAAGATGTTTATAAAATAGACGTCAGGAGGAATATTTTGCTCTTAGTTGAATAAATTATATCTGCTGATTTTTGTAGGTAGGCTGATTAAGTTATGATTTTATTCCTAATATATATAAGGTGTATATATATATATATATATATATATATATAAAATTAGAATTAATATAAGTAAAAGTTTATCACTTAGCTGATTGATGTTACCTTTCCAACTCCAGAGTTTCGTAGCTGGAGTTGGGATGCTGAAGGTAATATCAATCAGCTAAGTGACAAACTTTTACTTATATTAATCCTAATTCTATTAATGTTTTATCTTTGATATTGAGCACTTTATGTGCTGACACCCTTGAGAATGGTATGAATCCATCTCTTCTCTCCACCCTCAGCTACGGGTTAATAGCAGGACAGACTGGGTTCTATATCCTTGGGTGGCAACCCATCTAGAAAAAGGAAAACTCTGAATTCAAAACCTGAGGCGGGTCATTTGGAGACCAGGTGGCATTTTGTGCACCAGATCTCTGTATTTGGTTCTGCACAAGCCTTCACCACTATAATCAAATCATATATGTGGCTAGTGTGACTGTTTGGTTCTAAGAGCTGAGCTGCAGTACTCTCATATGCCAAAAAATGATGTGAGAGTACTCTATATATAAAATGAATTGACAGATTTGACTTCATTTAAAAATCCAGCACTACTAAATTTTGTTAGAAATCATTGATAAAATTCAAAGATGAATCTGCAATATCATTGATCTTGACCAGGCATCCCAGATTCAGTCACTTTCCTACTGCCATAATGTAACCTCCCCGTATATTTTCTGTAAATACTTTCATTGTAATTGTTCTGATGAACTTTCCTCTATAGTAACTAGATTCTATGAATTTAAGTCAATACTAAATTGGCAGCAAGGTCTCATCACAACTGAAATGGCTAAATATAACTAGAGTTCTGTGCTAATAGTTTCTTTTATTACACTTCTCATTTGTGGAATTTAAAATGCAATGCCATTCATTATCTTCTGTCTTCTTAATTTCTGTTCTTTTATTGTTCTTACACCTTAATGTTTTCTTTTTCTTATATTCTTTGACAGTAAACTTATACATCTTAGTGGCTTTGGTACCTTGCTTTGGGTGAGATGATTAAAAAAAAAAAATGAATTTCTTTTTATTGTTAAGCCAAATGTTGCCAGTAGTGAAATTCAGAATTTAGTAGCAGTAGGTCTCCAAAAGTATCTCAGTATGGCAACCCTAATACTATGTCACCATTTATGTTTTTTTTTCCAGATATGCAGATGGAGTTGTAATATTACCAAATGATACATTTCTTCCTACTGCCCTTCATAAAAATTCTGGATCTTCAACCAATGTTCAATGTTCTCTAAAAGATGTGAATAAGGAGATGAGTTTGGCTTTGTCTGGACTTCTTTATCCAACAGACACCTTAGCATCTGCAAAGTAAGAAACTTACACATATATAATATATATATTAAAATATGCCAAATATATTAAAATGTGTATATTTAGGCAGCATATCTTCATTCAAGCATATTTGGTTGAATAATCTGGACATATTGTATTTATTTTAATTCCCTCAAATTCTCATATCAACTTCTTAATGTTGATATTAAATTCATTAAGGAAGGTGCCATAGTGTTTTTCATTTCTTTTATCTTCCCAAGTACTTTCAATTTCATCCAAGATCATCTTTTTGCCCTGGGTATGACGATAAACTACATCTGCGTCCTGGGTATGACAATAAACTACATCCGCGTCCTGGGTATGACGATAAACTGCATCCGTGTCCTGGGTAAGATGATAAACTACGTCCAACAGCAAGGCCTCTGATCAAGAGGTTTTGAGGATCATGGAACCACCTCTTAATTGCTTGTGTTCCCAGGTCCACCCTGACCCAGGGTGGTAGCACCTGTTAGGGTCCCAGCTATGGGCAAATAGTTAACCCTAAAACTGAGGTAAAAAGCATTATAAAAGTGTAAAAATAGGTTTTAATACCAGAAATACTTTGTAAAAAAATTATTACCAGAAATAAATTCTTGAAGAAAAAAAAAAAAAAACTATTACCAGCAATATGTTTTTGAAAAAAAAAAATTACCAGCAATATATTTTTGAAAAAAAAACAAAAAAACTATTATCAGGAATATATTTTTGAAAAAAATATTACCAGCAATATATTTTTGAAGAAAAATATTACCAGCAATACATGTTTTAAAATAATATTACCAGCTATACATTTTTGAGGCAAAAAATATTACCAGAAATAGATTTTTGACAAAACAAAATATTACCAGAAAAAAAAAAATGTTGTTGGCATTAAATAACCCATCGAAGTTGATATGCCGTAAAACACAACAAACCAAGATCAACTTTAGGGGTGAATTGCTAAGACAAAAAATTAATGTAATTGATAGTTGTGAGTTTTTTTGTAAATGCACATAAAACTCACTCTGTTATAATTACAAACATGGATGAATGTGCTCTGTTATAATTAATTTAAAAATTAACTATTATATATATATATATATATATATATATATATATATACATCCTCAAGATCTTCCATGTAAGTCATTGTTTAAATGTAAATAAGGACTGCCATTAATGTTTTTGGATGAAGCAATAATTCATGACTTTACTGGTTATGGTTTAAATGAGCTTATCTCAAATAGATACTAGTTATCTTTGTATGACAAATTTTACAAATACAAAAGTCATTGCTTAGTCATGCAAAAGTCTTAGGCCATTTTAAACTCTTGTAAATTTCTAATAACTGCCATCTTATAAGTGGATGTTTTTTAATGTGCTGTCTACAGGAGAAACTTTCACCATATTGGAGTCATTTTCACACTTAATTATCATATTTTTTAGCAAGGGTTATGAAGGAATGCAGTAATTCTGGTGCATTGTCTGATACTAATGTTTTAGGGACCTCGTTTCTAGAAAATACTACTCTTAGTATTTGTTTTATTGTAGGCGTTTTTCTATCTTTAACTTTAATGACTTCAGGACATCCAGAGAAAAAGACTACTAAAATTAGAAATAGTTCCATGCCATTATTGTGCACATGGCTCATATAAACACAAGACCATTTCTTTAGGCCATGAATGTAGTCTCTTTTATTTCTGCAGTTTTGGCATATTTGTATACATATCTTTCTATATCATGATAATATCCTGGCCACCATGCCTCTAATTTTGATCTTCTCTGTTTAGCCATTATCTCACAATGCACATCATCATGTACATTTTTTTAAATATCTTTTCTTACTGTTTCTGGTAGTACTATCACGTCTCCATTGCATATAACACTGTTTTCCATTGTTAATTTATGCCTTATTTCTTTATAAGGTCTTTCAGCTTTGGAACAATTACTTTACCTGTTTCTTTTTATTCTCTAAGAAATCTAGCTTAATATTGAACCTGTAGAGTTTCTGATACCAATCTTTGTAGATATAATATGTCAGTATCAACCTAATATAATATTTTTTCATCTGGGATTTCCCTTTTTTCTTTTTGATCCTTATTAAATTGTAACCTTGGCATCACATAAACATGTGGTATTGTATTTTCTTTTATGTACTCTATGTCTCAATGTTAATATAACCTTCTTTCTGGGATCAAAGATTTTTACAATGTGTTTTTCTGTGGGTACTTCTTTTAAATACTTGAATGCTAAGCTTTACCTTTGAGTCCATTTGAATTCACTATACTTTTTCTGTAGTTCAGCAAATGGTTCTAATAAGCTGCTGTATTTCGGTAGGTACCTATTATAAAAATTAACCAATTCTAAAAAGTATTCTAATTCTTTTTTATTAGTAGGTATAGATACTTCTGAAGTTTTCTTAATTAGCTTTGGATCTGGTGCAATATCCTCATTTGAAATTTGGTATGAATTTAAGTGTGCTATTAGGTTGGCATCTCGATCCCACCATCTCGAAACAGCTAGATGTAGCCATCTCTTCTACTCCAACAGCTTCTTATCTCGCACTTCCTGTCAGTGGAATTCCCTTCCTATCTCTTGCTTCCCTGATAGCTATAAATTCAAATATTCAACTGTAATGCCAATTGACATCTTCTGATTCCTTGACCTCGATCCCTGTTTTTCTCTTTATCCTTTTCCCAAACACTCCTTTTTACTCTTATTCTCACTCTCCTTAATTCCCTGCATGCTAGTGGCCTTGCTTGGGGTGGTTTGCTTAAAAAGAAATCTGTGAATATATTGAATAATTGATTCATGTTTCTTTTTAATGGGCAGAAATTTGGTTCTTTCTGCTATGAGGTCGTAAACTTTTTATACTTTCTGATATTTTGACAAAAGTTAAATTCTCCAATTGTTTAGGGTATACCATAACAGAAATTTTCATTATAGCTTCACAACCTGCTGAAGCGAGAAATAAGTCAGTTATTTGAGCTTCTCCCACTTTTGCCTTGCTGCCTTTCAAAGCATTGGATCCAAGACTTAACAAATTCTGGTTCATCCCAGTGACCTAAACATCCTGTCAGCAACAACATATTGTTGTATTGTGTTGTTCTACAACACGTGATCAGTAGTCAACTTCCCTCTGTCTTTTTTTTTATACATTTTATTTCTCTTCTACTTGACATATGCAAATAGGTACAATCCTATCTACCAATCCACTACAACCATATATGAAGGAAAAATCAGTTCCATTTTGAAAAGATATTTAAGAAATGTAACAAAAAAGAGAAAACAAAAAAGGTCAGATGGTGAAGAATTTTGCATGATTATTTTTGGGTATCATCTCATATCTTCTCTCCTCATTCAGAACCCTTGCTAAAAAATATGATAATTAGGTGTGAAAATGACTCCAATATAGCAGCCAAAGTTTCATCTGTAAACAACACAATAAAAAAACAGCCATTTATAACATGGAAATTGACAGAAATGTACAATAGTTTTAAATGACTTTTGCATGGTAGTGTATATAATATGGATTACTCAAAAAGAAATGTTGCTATTTTTATTTTTATCATTAGCTGAAATTATTTAATGAATAAGGAATATCGGATAAGAATAATGATCAGATTTGCAATAAAGAAAAGTGATGATTTATAATACAAGAGTTAAACATACATTGGCACATGGACAAAGAGTTTTATTGCAAAAGGAAATAAATTCACTTGTTGCAATTGAAACTAAGTTGTACTTTATAGTTTTGGAGTAATTTAAAAAATATTTGTCCACAGCTACCTGCATTCTTACTAGTTATATTAGTGATGGATGAATCAGTCTGTGTGTCTACCTTGAAATAAGTGTTCTAAAACCAGATGCGACAAGATTAAATTAATTTCCTGCTTGATATTGTAGTTGATAAGGAACATTTTAACTTATACCAAATTAAAACAATATGATTTATTTTCCCTAAGTTTATGCATGCATATATATATATATATACACACTCCTGATCAAAAATTAAAGACCACTTGAAAAATGTTTATAAGAGACTGTTTGTCATGGATACATTATAAACTTTTTCTTACTTAAGGTTACTAATTCTATAATCTAAAAGGTTATGTAGACAAAAAGTTATAATCCGATCAATTTATTCAGAAATGGACATTTTTATAAAATGAGGCATATTATACTTGATCAAAATTATAAGACCAGGGGGTATAAATTGTTATATCTAGGGTAATTCCAATGTTTTTGTTCAGTTAGAGAGTAGCAATCATTGTATAAAGGTGTCACCATGCCTAAAGCAAGCAAACTTACCGAAGTTGAGCGTACTTGAATTCTAGATTTCCATAATCAAGGTTTGTCACAGTGGGTGATTGCAGCTAAGGTAAATCACAGTAAAACTGATTTGCAACTTTCTAAAGGACAGTGTGAATTATGTAAAGGCCCCAAAAAATTTCTCTGGCATTGGGTAGGAGAATAAGATGGGTTGTTGTGAAAGCCAGTGGACTTTCTTCTAGTCAAATTAAGGCAGCCACAGATGCTGATTGCAGTCCAGTAACCATCAGACGACACTTACAACAAGATGGCATGGTAAATAAAAAGCGCAAACAAATTCCTCAGCTGCTGCCATGTCACAAAGTAAACTGTTTAAGGTTTGGTCATGAATACCAAACATGGGACATTGAGAAGTGGAAGAAAGTCCTGTTTTCTGATGAGAAAAAATTAAATCTAGATGGTCCTGATGGCTGCCAACGATATTGGCATAACAAAAACATGCCTCCTGAAATTTTCTCCACATGTCATAGTGGTGGGGGGTCCCTAATGGTATGGGGTGCCTTTTCTTACAGAGGGACAATGGAGCTCCAGGTGGTGCAGAGTCGTCAGACAGTGGCTGGTTATGTTAGCATGCTACAAATGTATTGTTGGTGATGGAGGGCCATCATTTGTGTGGGGATGGATGATTATTGCCATGACTGGGTTCTTCTGCTTGTGTGGCATGGTGCAGTGTCCTGTTGCCAGATGCAGAATCTTCTAGTAGCCACCCTCTTGATCCAGGGCAGTACTACCTCATCAAGGCACTTTGTAGGTCTTTGTTTTGAGTGAAGCCCTGAGGGAAGATGAATGGAGGCATAATGTCATCATCACTCGTATTCACTCTGAACACCTGTGTAATCACCATTAGACTCATCCGACTCTTTCTGAATCCTCTGCACTGTCCTCAGATTGACACCCAAACATTCTGAAATGTTCGTGTTGGAGCTTGTGGTGCAAATGCCAAGCTGTACAACATGCCATTTTCAAAATTTCTGGTGCTGGAGTGAATTGTGTCATGGTGCTCTTTTCTTACAGACTGTGCCCAACTAATCCTACGATACTGTGCAGTTGATAAAATCAAAAACAAACAAGGTGCATGCATGAAATTAAAATTATAAAATGGTGACAATTAACCCATCGCAGCCTATAAGTTTGGGGCGTGGGTGTGTATGAGTGTGTGTTTTATATATATATATATATATATATATATATATATATATATATATATATAAATACTGGAATATTGTGTCATTTTCAACTTATATAGGTCAAGCAGATCAGCTCATTAGGACCAGCAGCCAGACTACCTGCACATATCATTTGATTATAGAGATGAAGCCTTGTGCAGAGCCAACCACACTTTTGGGAGAGCTGAATATAGAGAACTGGTGCATAGTACACCACAAAGTCCCCAAATGGCCCTCTGCAGGTTTTGAATTCAGAGTTGTCCTTCTCCTAGTCCATATGCCACCCTAGGCTAAAAGAACCCAGTGTGTCCAGTTATTTACCCATACTTAGGAGGAGAAGAGATGGATTCATAACTTTCCCAAGCACATAAGGGAATGTAATGAATTTGACTGGAATTTGAACTTGGCTCTCTGATTATTCAATTTGAGTCACTATCCATTACTCCACCATGCCTAAATATATATATATATATATATATATATATATATATGTGTGTGTGTATATATATATATATATATATATATATATATGTATGTATATATATATATATATATATATATATATATATATGTGTATATATATATATATATATATATATGTGTGTATATATATATATATATATATATGTGTATATCTGTATATTGTGTGTGTATATATATATATATATATATATATATATATATATATATATATATGTATATTGTGTGTATATATATATATAGAGAGAATGTGTATATGACCAAAAGCCTTTAACATTTCCTTCTCCTTCTCTAACATCCTTGGTACTCATACTATCAACTTCTACAGTGTAGAATTGTCCTTCTTTGATAGGTCTCCTGATATACTAGCTCTCTGCAAGACTAACCTTAACTCTTCAATCCCTTTCTCTGATTTATCTGTTCCTGGCTACCTTCCTCTACGTAGAATGGACTTTGGAATCTCCTGACCATTCGTATATTTGTTTCCCTCTATTTCTTTTCAATTTGGTAAGCTATCTCTTCTTTCTCTACCATTCCCCTTCCTCTCAAGACTATTGTGTACTTAATAGCATTTCTGATAATATAGACAAAGCCACCTCTCTACATCTGTTTGCAAACATGTTCATGTTCGGTGACTTTAACGCCCACTATATCATGTGGTTTAAACACTCTGTAACTAAACTCGCTGGCATCCAAAACCTTAACTTTTCAATCACTCCATCCCTCACACAAGTGGTTGACTTTCCTACAAATTTCCCCAGTGACCCGGACGGTAACATATCCTTTCTTGATCACTGTTTTACCTCTGTATTTTAGGTGTTTAGCCCTAAGCGAGTTTTCCTTGGGTGACAAGTTCAAAGTCCTGTTCGATGAAAGCATCTAATAACTATCTTTGTTGATACATTCAACCTTCAATATCTTTAGATCATTGACAATGTCCTCTTTCATTAAGTGAGGATTCTTTGAGACATCTCTAACAATTTTCCTTTCAATTTTCTCAGAAATTAACCATTTCTGCCAGTCCCGAGTCTCAATGTACTTTTTGATAATGCTATGAATTGCCGATCTAGGAACATTTAAATGCTTGGAAAGTGTTGTATATCCATCATCTTGTCTGTATGCATCAACTATAATCATTTGGAACTTTTTGTCAAGTTCAGCCGTCTTCACCATGGTTGCAGAACAAATGAGTTATCTCGGTATGTGGTACTCACATAATCTCATCATTACCTTTTAGAATGTTATAGAATCAAGTCAATAATATTTCATTTCGAAAGGGTGTTTGTATTAAATGTTGAATTAAGAAAAAAAAGCATTATAATTGCTATAGAGCAATATTATTTGATAATTTCCATAAGTGGGGGGCAAATAATTTTGGAGTGCACCAATTATTAGAAAAATCAAAACTTCTACTTGTATGTGAATTATTCAAAATTAAATATGTAATCAGTTACTTATGGTAAATTCAGTAAGTACTTGCAAATATTCACATTTCCTTAAAAAATATGCAAATATTCAGTGGGGGTGAATAATTCTGTTTACAACTCTGTGTGTGTGTATATATATATATATATATATATATATATATATATATAATATGATAAAATATGATTTTAAGAGATAGAGTGTATGTAAATATAAGAGCAGACACTGAAGTCAACATCCAGAAGTGACAGTCTGTTTCATGCTAAATGCAATCATCTGGCATATATATATATATATATATATATATATATATAGTGAGAGAGAGATGCAAAAATCCTTCTTTTCTCTGAGAGTGGCTACAATAACAAATGAACATGAATAACATCTATTGTTGTGTCTTTCAGTGGCTACAGCCTTGGAAGAGAACCATGGGAACTCCTTCAACAACTTTGTCCTCTTCCAAGTTTAAAATTTATTTCTATTGTTCATCAACAGAAAAGGTTAGTATTTTGATTAAGATTTGGAATGTAATTGAAGTCTTCTTTTTTCCTCTTCCATTATGAACTTTGACTAGTTGCTCTATCTGGATATGTGATAATTTAAATGTAAACTCGGAAAATGTATTAAAAAATTAAACAGACAGATCTTGTCAGTTAATTATAATAAAACTTGTTTGAATATATATTGTAGCAGCTGTCACACCTTTATGTCAGATGCATGTCTGGAAAACCTTGTCAGCAGCAGCGACTACTTTTCAAATTTTATGCATACCCAAGCCTGAAAATATTATATATTTATAAGATTCATATAAATTTTATTAGAATCAACTGACACTGTCTGTTTTATTTTTTAATACATTTTTCTAGTTTGCATTTAAATTGTCACACATCCAGATAGAGGAACTAATCAAAGTTCATAATGTTTTTGTTTGTGTTTTTCCATCCATTTCTAGTACTTATCAGGAAAGTTAACGTAATCAGTGCTATAGACAAAAGTTTTTATTAACTTCATACTGGCATTCTTGGGAATGCTACCTTTCTAATTTAAATATATAAGTATTGTATATAAATGATGTCATGTGTAGAATGTTTTGTAACTATATATAGAGAATATACATATTAAATCTTTTAGAAATCATATAATTAAGAGTTACAAAACTTGAGAGTATCAGAAAACAAAGATATTAAATTTTTTAAACACATGTTAAAATTCCATCCCTTGTAGTGAACGATATTGTTTAATGAGGGTTGTTGCAAAATATAATGATATCTTTTAGTATTTTGATTTTTTTTTACAGTTAATGTTGTATAGCATTTTAGGATTGTCTATTAAGATTTGTTCTGTGTCATATTTTGGCTGTGGTTAGTATGTTTATGATTTGCCCTAATTTTCAGTAAATGGCAAATTAACCTGTGAGAGAGTGTGGTGGTTGTATGACTATTGCAAGAATTTAATCTTTTCTTATTATTAGTATTGGAGATAAAAATCTTTCAAAAGGCAACAGAATTCATAAACAACATTGTTTTTACATGAGGGTGAGTTTTAATATTTTTTTTAGGTTCCATGTTATTGGTAATGATTAGGTCAGATGCTTTAAACTTCTTATAACCAATAATAAATTGCAGGTATTTATTACAATCATTAAATGACTTATACTTACAAATTACATTTATAATGCTTTTTTATCTTGTCTATAGTTAAAATGTGTTTGGTTACAATAGAATAAATTAATTTTTTTTTTTTTTGAACCTATTGATATTTTTCCTCAAAAATGTTATAGAATCAGATCAATACTATTTTATTTTCAAATAGTGTTTGTATTAAATGTTAAATTAAGAAAAAATTATAATTGCCACAGAACAATATTTTTTTCATAATTTCCATAAGAGATTCTGATAATTTTTGGACTGCACCAATTTTAGAAAAATCTATAACTATGAATATAATACAATATAATTCTAAAATTTTTAAAGAATTATTCAAAATTAAATATGGAATCAACTATTTATGGTATATTCAGTAAGTACTTTAAAATATTCGTATTTCCTTTGAAAATATGCAAATATTCAGTGGGGGGCGAATACTTCTGTCCACAACTGTATATATTACGCTACAAAGACAAATTGAAAGACAACTTGAAACATCTCAACTTTGATCTGAAAACCTGGGGAAGCACAAATTCAAACCGAAATGAGTGGCGTAAGACATGTTTCATTAAGTTTTTGAAAGATTTTGAAGACAGTAGACTAATCATGTGATCAATTTCGTCAGGATCTGCAGCAGAGAATCAAAATCCTGCTTTAACAAATTTTATCTGTCATTGTGGCTTTGTCGCCCACAGCAAAATTAGATCACACTTAAGAAAGACAAATGAAATACGTCTTTTCCTTTACCTGTTTTTCTCCAAAACAGCCCCTGCTAGCATGCATAAGTGTAAAACGAAAGTCCCATTCAATGCTGGCCCTTGTATTTATCGTTCACGATAGGAGAGTCCCCCATATATATATATATATATATATATATATATATATATATATATATATAAACGATAATTGGGGACTTTGAAAACGCTGAAGATATGCAATTTTTTATATATTTTTTAAATCTCATGGCCTGTTGGTGGTAGGAAGATAAGATGAGTCTATAAGATGCTCCAAATGTGTCTCAAATAAAACTCTTTGAATTTAAAATCCAGCTTCAGCATGAAGAAATGGCAAAGGTGGATCACTGACGCCTCATAAGCAGCTACTTTGTGTAGATGGAAAGGCAATCTATTTCAGAAAAACTTATGATTTTAAACAAATTTTCAAAATACGCGAATGACTGGAAAATCCAGATAGTTTATTTTTAATAACATTTTTTTTCCCGCAGCCAAACCGGTTACATTAATGTCTTCAAAAGTGGATTTTCTACTGTTAGGATTAGGGAGGTCTAAGCAGCACTGTCTCCATATATGTCGCCCCAGCCTTCGTCCTTTAGAGGCATTTTCAAGCTTCACCACTCTGTTTAAATAGCACCAATGACATCATTTTACAACGCTGTTTTTAGAGAAACAAGAGTCCGTAATGTCAGATTTTCATTCCCATTCCACACCTCCAGAAGAGATTTCACAAGACCCCTGCAATGGCTTAAAGGGACTGAATTTCGTTTAAACGGAATTTTTTGCAACCATTACTGCGATATCTTTTAACTGTTGCCTAGTATACTATGCAATATTATACTAAACTTTTTTTTCTTAATGTTCTCGAGATATTTGTTACCAGTACCTTTATAAACTTACTCTGATTCGCCTTTTCCGATGACTTCACACTCCATTCTAACCTTAAGTCCCTAATGGTATTATTTCAACAGTTTCTATTTCTAGTACTAGATAAGAATGTTAGCCCACCACAGCTTCTTGCAAACTCTTGTTGATAAATTGGTGACGATAATACAAAACAGATATGTAGCTGTTTATTATATATGAAAGTGATTAATTTTTTGCTAAAAATTAGGTTTTTACAGCTCAAACTTGTCTCTTTAATACGGTTTTTGAAAATCAAAAGGAACTTACAAAATTATAAAGATGATGGCAAAATGGTTGGTTTCTTATACCGCTTTGGAAAGTACCTGACTCCTCCTTCTATGCAGTATCTTTTAAATTCATATCAGACCTAAAATGGAGTTCTACTGACATATCTGTGCTGAAACTGCCAAGTCTTCACCTTCCGGGTTTTATAGGTTAAAATATGCCTAGGGGCTTTGTAGGTTATTGATTATGTTCACCTTACACTCATTTTTACACAGAGAAACATAGAAAGCCTCTCGATCACTCTTCGCTATTTCCACGGCAAATATTCAGACGCGCTATATTCATTAATTTCAACCGTTCAGACAGTCACAGCTAGGGCCTGTGTACAACGTACACAAGCTCAAATCATCTCCTTTTTCCTTTGTATTTCATAAGAAGGATGTTTAATTCGAACAGCTTGTGGAAAAAGACTCTCGCGAAGATGCTTTCAAAAACGCTTCTTAACCTCTTCAAGTCTAGGGTCAGACGTACTGCTGCCATTTATGGGCGGGAGGTTTCCCAGTCTTTTACAAGAGGCAGATCAAACCGAAAATAAGCACTGCTTCCATATATGGGCGGAGGTTCCCAGTCTCTACAAGAGGCAGATCAAACCAAAAGTAAATTACTGCTTTTGCCATATATGGGCTGTACGTTCAGTCTTCACTTTCCACTGTCGATAGAGTCCAAAATCGTTTCTGTCTCCTTGTTGATGACAAATTATTTTTCATTCTACAATCCCTTGGTTTAGAGACCAGACGTTGCAAGAATCACTATTCCCATGGCGAGTGTCCAGATGAACTACATTCCTTAGATACCCCAGTCCTGACCTTCACGTCTAGACCCTACAATGTCGCACATTATAAATCAATCATTCACTTCATTAACACCACATCACGTTGAAACACGATTATTTGGGAGTCGGTTCTAAAATATACTGGTTTATAGGAAGAAGCTGCACGATCACTGAAGTTAAATCAAAATCAAAATGGTCAGTACCTAGATGGGTGATCGCTTGGGAAATACCAGGTGCTGTTAGTTTGGATGTGCGGTGGTGCAATGAATAATGTATCGAAATTTTTAATCAGAGAGCCGAGGTCCAATTCTAGTTGGGTTCATTATATTTTTTACGTGCAAATACGCTTGGGAAAGTTATGAATCTATCTCTTCTGCTCCCAATTATGGGTTAATTAATAAATCTTGTATCATTAAATCATTATTATCTCGAAAAAAATTCTTACAATCTAAAATATTTTCTGTCTTCAAATTGTTGACCATGTTTGCCGTAGTCTCTGAATATGGAATCCAGTGAAGTCCGTAATGTGTTTAATATCAGAGTTTGGCAGTGAAGATTCAGAGAAAGACATCAGGTTGGCAATGGAGATATTTTGGGAGAAAAACAAAATGACTGCCTTTATACATCAGGTTGAATATTTTGAGCATTCTGATTGGTTAACCCTTCTATTGGTGAACTATAAAATGAGTCAACTCATTTTGACTGACTCACTAGTACATATATGTATCAAAAAACTGAACACAAATAACCCGCAAAGAGTTGATCAGCCGTAGAAAATTTCAATCAATTAACCATTCCCTTCGTATTCCTTTGGTGAGACGTAAGTTTCACTCAAACTGCTTTTTCCATGAACCAGTAAAAATTTTAGAACCGAAATGGATGCTTCCCATTCATTACAATCTTTTTTACCTGTTCAAGTCTAGGGTTAATCGTTATCTTCCATATATATCCGCATAATAAAACCTTTTACTTTGTAACCCTCTATCGCGAGTGGCCCTCCGGCCTTGTACAGGGTGAATATCATCTAAAAGAAATTTTCGTGGTATACATTGTAAATAATTTTTTCCAAATTAAATAAAAATGGCGAAGAAAAGATATAGTCAAATTTCTCATTTTTAAACTTCCTTCTTGCTCACATGTTCATTCCAATGTATTCACATCGTAGAACCATATATTCGCCGCTTCATCTCTCTCCTTCATCTATAAATAATGTTGTAGAGTAGCTAGCACCCTTTCAGCATTCTAGCAGATGGCCTGGCTCATAACCTTAGTGCGTAATAAAATGGCGAAGAAACTCTAATTGATATAGTCAAATAGATTTTAGATCTCATTTTTAAACTTCCTTCTTGCTCATATGTTCATTCCAACATATTCATCGTAGAACCATATTTCGCCGCTTCATTATAAATTTTGTTGTAGAGTAGCTAGCACCCTTTCAACACTCTAGCAGATGGCCTGGCTCATTTTTTCATATAGTCTACGATTAGAACTTCAACAGTTGATTAGCCCATTACCTGCCATGAGCCTCATTTGGGGATCTGTTAAAATTAAACTCACTACATGAGTGTATTTACATTGAATTGCTTACATACATTGCATTTGCAGAGGTATATTTTACAACACTTAGCCTTTAAAGTTTTATTATTAGACGTAAGAAGACACTTTCTGTTGTAATTTTACATTTCACGAGTAGAAAAATAATGACTATTTTGAAAAAATATTTTTTTATTTAATCAATATTATTTTTGATGTTTTATACACATATATATTTGATGTTCTAGTTTCTATAAGAATGACAATAGTAACTACTGAAATTAAACATAAAGAATAAATAATCTCCTAAGACACCTGTCTGGGCCAAAAAAAATTGCATTAAAAATATTTCGCAGTTAATGGGTTAATAAGCTGATTAGTATTCGGACTGATCTTACTTCGTTTGGCTATACAGCATTTGACTCTCCTCTATTCCTTGTAAGTTGTCTTGTTAATTGTTTGTAAGTTATTATTCTGTGTTTTTTTATATATCCGTTTAGCACCGGATACTAGTGCTGAATAAATATATTAACGCTCATTCTTCTCTGTGCATCATTCACCTCGATGATACAACAAATATTCAGCATTTACTGCCAAATAAACTACATTTATCGACAAGGTCTCCGATCGAAATATTGAAGGTTTTAATTGCTGTTGTTCCCAACATTTTAATAGTAAAATATCAGCAATAAATATTTATAATAAAATTACCAACAAAACATATTAATATTAGAATTTATCATCAATACATTTTATAGCAAAATAACCAACAATATATTTTATCTGTAGATGAAGGCATACAATTACGTTCAAAATATATTTAGTTGAAGCCATAAAATTATAAGTCTGTCTATATTTCTGAGATGAGGTAAATGAATTATTTACATTATTCAGAATATTGTCCTCATCTTTGTCGCCATATTTATCACAAGGTTTCGGCCGTTGTACACTCCGGCCTAATGACCACATATGGAGAGAGAAGGAGATCACCGCCCTCTATGAGATCATGTTGAGATCATAGACAACGAACACCATTGGAAAATTCGTAAACTTAAGGAATCAGTACATATGCTAGGCCACAAAAATCTCCTGAACCATTACCCGAAATAGAAATAAATACAATATATGAACCAGTAATAAGGAGTGCCAGAGAAAAGCAATGATAAAAAATTGCAATATGAACTCTGGTAAAAAACATGAATGATAACAGCAAAATTGCAATATGAGCACTGGTAAAATGGTTTGCTGAAGACATTAGGTTTATAATACCCAGAAGTTCATGTCCTCAAGGACACATGGCACAGTGGATAAAGGCGTTGGTTAGTGACAGACCCAAAGAATGTGAGTTCAATACCTGGTTAAGGCAGTGGAGAACTTTCAGAGGGAAAATTAGCAGGAGATAACTGATAACTGACATCCATCAAACATGGCATGTGAAACTAGAACAGTCTACCCCAGTGATCGAAATAAAGGGTTCACCTGAAGAAGGCCGTAGCATACAATGGCCAAAATGTTGTGACAAATATGGCGACAAAGATGATCATCTCAGAAATATAGACAGATTAAATTTAATCGAACTTGTTTGGATACATAACACATATGCACAAACAAAATACATATACCATTGCATGGGACTAAAAGAAGTATGTGATTTTTATTCATCATCTTTTTTTTTTGGAATTTTTCCCTCAATTAAAAGCAGAAAAAGGAATTTAGGGCAGAAATATTAAACATTTTTGCATGAAAAAAGAAATCTTTATGAAGTTTAAGTCTATCAAGAGATTTACAAGAACCAAATCAGGCTGAGGATGGAATACCATTATCATTTTTTGGTTCCTTTTAAAGTCTTCTTCAGCTCTGTACTCTTAAGGTCTGCACCTGAACTCTGAAATTTTATTCACTATTTAATTTAATTTTTTTTCTCTCTTTTGCCAGTAGGAATAAATAAGTTTGCCTATCATCCAGTTAACACTCCTCCCCGGTCTTTTGAACAGGAGTAGAGGTTTATCCTTTGTTTCTTGTTTTGGATTAGGTTAGGTTTCTGGTTCCTTCTAAAGTCTGCTTCAGCTCTATCTAATGCTTGTTCTTTCCTCTGCTAATATAACTCCACACAGTAACCCTCTACCTTGAGGGACTCTTGGGCCTTGTATTGGGTGAACATTAGTAAGAGAAAAAAAAGGAAAATTTCTAATCAAATTTCAGTTGATAACTGTCCCAAGCTATATGCTCATTATTCCATCCTCACTTTTTTGTAAAACTCCACCTTAATAACATGTTTGTTATGTGACAAACAAATCAAGCAAAAGTCATGCTGTAATGTTATATTTAAAGAAACTGCATTATCATATTTAAAATATATTTTCATTGTAATTCTTCTGATGAGCTTCTCTCCTTGGTGCCTTGATTGCTTGAACTTAAGCATGCTACTTGATTGGCAACTAGGTTTCACCATTTTACTGTTGACCAAGCTAGATGCAACTGTATGTTCTATTCTAAGAATTTCTTTTTTTTTATCTATAGAATTCCTTTCTGATTTCTTGTTTCCCTGCCACTTACAATCTTCAAAAATTTAAATGCAATGCCAATCACTATTTTCTGCCTTTCTGAATCCTGTTCTTTTGTCCTTACTTCTTACTAAAGTCTTCTCATTCTCTTACACTCCCAATAACCCATTGCATCCTAGTGACATTATTGCCTTGCTTCAGATGAAATTATTAAAAAATCAATTCATTTGTACCAAATTATTTTAGATTTCTTGACAATTATATTCCTATTTCAGATATTCTACATGGAAACAGTGTGTGAATTTGCTGCAAAGATCATTTAGTATCAGTGGTCTCAAATTTATATCCTTCTTTTTCTACAAAATTTGCATACAAATGTGGAGATGATATTTGTCAACCTATAATAATCCTAAATGTTGTTTTAGAAATATTCTGTTAAAAGGACTCTTAAATTTTAATTGGTACTGCAGATAAAGATATTCTTTAATATATATAAAGTAATTCCTAATAGGTAGGTCCTTGAAGGTAGTTATTAATGGACAGTACTCTGGCAGTCAATGAAGGCATCTCTCAGGGGTCACTTCTTGAACCTTCCCTCTTGTTGATTTACATAAATGATCTGTCTAAGAATATCCTCAGATCATTTGTAAACATCTATACCAATGATACAACAATATACAAGTGCAGCTCTAAAACTCTTGATGATCAGAGATTGGCAGCTGATCTCTCATCCGATTTAGCACTAACTTCATAGTCTGGGAAAGACTGGCTGGTTACATTCAATGCCTCAAAAACCAAACTAGTTACATTCCATCATCGCTGATCAGATCCCAAACTACTGTCAGTCAGGATGAATGATTGTCCCATTGGAGAGACTCTGTGCATTGAGAGACTGTTGGGCCTTAAACTCACACCTGACCTCAAGTTGAATTTGTACATTATGATCCCTCACTAAAGATGCAGGTAAAATGATCAGCTCCCTGTACTGCTTCAGTAAGTACCTGACTCGTCATGCTATCCTCTACCTTTACAAGAACCAGATCAGGTTGAGGATGGAATACCATTATCATATTTGGGTGGGAGCTGCCCAGTCCTCACTTTTCAGTCTCGATAGAGTTCAAAAGTGTCTTGTGGGTGACAAATTATTTTCCACCCTTCAACCTCTCTATTGCTACTTCTATGGAAAATGCTTGATCTACATTCTTTGGTTCTGCCAATCCTAACCTAGGATTCACCATGCCACTTATATTGAAGTAAACCACTCACATTCACTCCATATTCCATCAATGAGAAGGAAGTTTTACTCAAACAGCTTCTTCCCATAAACCACTGCTCTGTGGTACTGAATCCCAAGAGTATCTTTCTCTGATCACTATGATCTTAACCTGTTCAAATCTAGGGTTAACTGTTATCCTCCCCTCCTATCTGTAACTGCCTCTGAATGTAATCCTCTACCTCAAGTGGCCCCTGGGCCTTGTACAGGGTAAACCACACTGTAAAAAAAAAATAAATAAATAAAACAATTCTTAAAAATTAGTTTAATTTATAATTGTTTTCATGTATAGTATTGAGACAAGGGAAAGGGTTGACTGTTAACTCTTTCACTGCTGCATTGTTGTTGAGCTGCTCTGGTCTGATTTGAAAAAATAAGAAACTGCCGTTTACTGGAAGTAAATGACAATCGTAATTTCTCATGGGCACTGCCATTTTGCCTTAGCAACAATTATGGAGTCCTACACTTAGGGCTTTATTTCATAGTATGGCTGGCCACTTGCATCTGAGTATGCCTGTCTGCTAGGGTGGCTAGCTATTCTTTTTTGCAGATGCCTGCTCAAAAACATGTTGGTTTGACACACACAAAACCAACCTCTGGTTTGTATTGAGCAGACCTTAGTTACAGTTTCTGCGAGAGAGTGCATAATCTGGTATGACCAACAGCTTAAACAAAGCCAGTAATGTCAAACCCTCAGATATGATGATTTGTGGCCATGCTAGTACAATAATTGATGGCTTTCATACAGTTCCATCTACCCAATTTCACTCACAAGACTTGGGTCAAGTCATAATATGCTTTTCAGGTACTTCCTAATGGTGTCAAATGCTGAGATTATCTCTCCAGACTGATATTATGAAGAAGTCACCTCTCTGACAAGTCAACCATGAGATTTGAACCCAGGTGTCATGGTTGGAATGCTAACGTTCTAATTATTTGGCTACATAGTAAATGAAGAAAATTACAGATCTGGCACAAAACAATTTAGCAGTTGAACTTTCTGGATTTGTGAACATATTGCATATGTAGAATTCGGTAATCAAATGGCAAAATAGAAAAACACTATGTAACATGTTTTGTTCAAAGAAGGTACTTGTTCAGACTAGTAATGGTTTTAGATGGATTCTGTCTTCTATATAACAAAATGGGGAAGACATACAATAAATATCAGTTAAAATTTTTAGCTTGAAAATGCTAAAGATACAGGGAGGCTTAACTTTAAATTTTTTATATCCACTGTATCAAGATGCATAACCATATTCAGCTTTCTATCACTTTCAGATTTTGTCATTTAATTACCCACAATTATTTGGATATATAGACTTATATGATAAACTCCTATTACACTGCAACATTACTGTTAAGATAAATGCATAGTTTCACATAATCCAGATTTTTTGCTGAAAATTTTATCTATTTGAGTGAATTGATGATTACACCTTTCATCCAATCAAAGAGAGTTGTCCTTGATTCTTTTGTTCTATAAGTCTACAGCTAATGTTCTTGTTGGCCGAGGAGAAAATGAAGCCTATGATTTCAGCCAATATGTTTGTAAACAACAGAAGCAAACTGAGAGACTCCTCACCTGTGTTCAATGGGTACCTGACCCTGTTGTTTACTGGACAGGTAAGAATTATCTTTATCATTGCAAAAAGTCTGTTTTGGCAGACATAACCAGAAATATGTTAATTACTATTTTTTGCTTACCATTTACATTATATTATTTTCAGAAATACACAATATTACTATTTTTTGCTTCAAATAATAAATTACTTGTAATCAAGTAGTTACCACTTTTAGTAGAACCAGATCGCAACTCCAACTGAGGGTAAAATTTAGTTACATGTTAATGACTACACAATTTTTTTTTTTTTTTTTTTATAAGCAACTTGAGATTTGACCAGTACTCAGGTTTCTTATATTTTTTTTTTTTAACAAGAATCAAGACTCAAATTGCTTTAATGGTTTTTGAATTTTTTTCTTAATGCTTGGGTCTAATAAATAGTAAAGAAAATCTTTTCAATGTAATTAAACATAGTAGAATTGGTAGGATTCTGGAGTAAAGTATAAAATAAGATATAAGTAACTATTTAATTTTTACATTTTTTTTTTCTTTTTCTTCTATTAAGTTAAGATTTAGTCAAATTTAATTATAGTTGCTTATTTAAAATATAAGACAAAAAAAATCTTGAAATAATTATGATTTGATTCAGAATCTTTATAATAAGATGTCAATTATGAAAAAAAAAAAGGGTTAGATATTGAAACAATTTTTTTTTTGTTTGTTTTAAATCATAGCTGGTGGGGAGGAGTGGATTCCACTTCTGATTTCAGATAGCTGGGAGGAGGCAAGATAGATTCATGTTTTTTTAACTGCATTGTCATGAAGTGAATCTAAACTTTCCAAGTTGGAATTTGAACTCAGTTTGCAAATTCCATGGTGTTAACCTTTATGCTATCCAAGCTTCATTTTGAGAGTTTCAGATATTCAAGAATAATTTGTAGAATGTGGTCCATGAATTCCAAAGGCTTACCACATTATGGTTCAGTAAGTGAATTGATTTTTCAAGTGTAATACAATAAATTCAATATGGAAATCTGAAGAGTAATGATGTTGAAGCTTAAATGATAAAATAATCAATGCAAGAGACAGTGTGGAGAATCCAAAGTTAACTGTAAAATAACTAGTATGATTCAATATTACAAGTGATGAGGACCTCTTCAATTTCTTATCTCTAATTGGTCAGAGCCAGCCAATCAACGAACCATCCAATTCCCACCACAACAAAGGTTGATTACTGCATGCTCTCTCCCTGCTATTTCATTGCTTGCAGCTTTTAACTAGCTGATGGTTATTCTGCGAGTGGTAATCCTTATCTAGAATTTGGTCTTGGTGCCAGGATGTCTGGGGGGAATCAAAAAGGTTTGTTATGGTGATTCCCTTTTGTGACAGAGAAAATCACTTAAGAATTTTATCCATTTTCCATTAATTCATAAAAGTTTGTCTTATGAACTCTGCATAGGCCAGTAGAGCTTCATCTCAGGCTCTCTAGATCTGACTTGCTGGACATTGTTGTGGTATTACACAAGATATAAATTATGAACTGCAATGAATGTGTGTGAGTGAGAGAGAGTTTTTTTTATACATAAATCTCAGAAAAAGAAAAAAAAAAATCTCATTAGAAAGCCTGATCTCAAATAAAATAAATTGCAGTTGAATGGTTGACCCATATCTTGACATTTTAAAGTGACACCTTTTTTTTTTTCTACATGTATCTGAACTATACTTATGAAGTATAATTTTGGAAAGTGAAAATTTCACTGAAATATGTTAGAATATTTTCAAATTTTCATCTGAAATCAAGAAAAGTTTAAACTGATATCAGGGGTTTATGGGTTAAATTTAAATTCGACTTCTGTTATATTTCCAGCAAATAGCCATCTACCTGGAGAAAAGAGTTCTACTTTGACAGCAGCCTCCAACCATGGTAGGGTAACACATTGGCTGCAGATGGCACTTGATAAGGCCAAAGCAATGTATACTGCAAAAGCATATTTACATTGGTATTGGAAATATGGAGCAGACAAGGTAGGACAACAATACATTTTTTTTTCTATAACATTTTCATGAGCATTAATCAATTCATTAAAAAAAAAAACAACAAAAAAAAAATCATTTTTTTTATTTTAATATTATACAAATTTCTTAAATCAAATATCAGTTTAGGGCTAGTTTTTCCTTTATTTTAATTTCAGTTACTTTTTATCACAATTCCCAAATAAACATTATGGAATAGTGATATGGAAGTTATAAAAAGTAAATGAAAGAAATATTGGTCAAACCATTAATAACTTGACAATTCTTACAACTAAGACTACTAGTGTGTGCAAATAAAAAAAAAATTGGTATCATGTCATTTCAGAAGAAAATAAGGAATACCTGTATGGTTAGATATGAAAGACTGGTTGGCCCTTATTGCTTTAGTCACTAAGACAACGATCACAAAAAAGTAGGCTCACAAGAATAGTGAACACGTGTTCAAGCCTTAGCAGAAAATTATTCTCTACACTGCAGAATGATTGAGAGTTGTGATAAAAATCAACTGAAATTAAAATGAGAATTTTAGTTCAACAAATACCTACAATATTTCATATCCATAAATGTCTATTTAAAGGCTGCCATTAAACTTGATACCAATTCACTTCATAGCAATTTATATTAGGGAAACTAATCTATAATATACCTGGAATTTTTCCCCTCAAAAAATTAAATAGGAGTCAGAATTGCAGATCTCACTCTATTAAGTTGCAATTTGAACAAAATTCAAAATCTGTGCTATTTTATAACTGACAAATCTGTAATTATACAAAATATATCTGCAAATAAGGAAATCACTTTACAATTACTGTTGAGTATACTTAGAGTTATCAGATCATCTTAAAGATCACTTAAAATTGCTTTATTAGAGAATTTTAATGGTATTCTAACAGGCATAAGACCCCTTAGGTATAAATAGGGATCTTACTATAAAATCCCTTTTATAACTTCCATATCAATTTGTTACATACTCTAATGAGTGTGTTAGTCAACAGTTTTGTAATTATTTACATTATTCAGACTATTGTTATATTTACAAAGTTTTTGATTGGAATTTTGTTCTAGTTCCACATAGCATTAAAAACTAACAGAAAACTATACCTTAGATAAAGCATCTGCAGTTAGTATTAGTATTATTTCTTGAAGCAAGCTCAATCTTTCATATTTGAATTTACTTGATTGCTTAGAATCAAACATGAATACTCTTTACTGATCAGAAATCAGTGGCATTCATGTTAACTAGTGTTTACACCTGTTTAGAGCCTCGATTATAGCATTTGCCTCCTTTTCTATCACTGGGTTTTTGTTCACCACCATTTAATGTCCTTGAAAAGCTTGATTTAAAAGTGGCAACAAGTGTGTAATCAGATGCTCAACTTTCAGTCATCTTAGGTAGTGGAAATGTCTTAATTTATATGAAAATAGCAATTTTCATGTAATTGGCAATAGCAATTGTAAGAGAACATATCCTATAGTACAACATCAGGAATTCATATGCTGTGAAAGTTCTAGTGGCTGAAGTTTTTCAGGATCAGGTTCAATTATAATCCAAGAATTCCGAGAAAGAATGTGTATTTATAATTGTTGGTTAATATCAACAAATTTATTGAGCATTTTAAAATGTTCTACCTTACTTAGTTATAAACAATGATAGACATACGAGTAAAAAATAAATAAATTGACAATACTTTATCTCAAAGATATTCTATTAAAGATTTTACCAAGTGTTTTTTTGTATGTCATTAAATATGTCCTATAGATTTTTTTTTTTTCTCTTTCTCCAGAGTGATTTTGAAAAAGCCTTTGAAGCAACGGAGATAATTATTGAAAATTACAGAGAAGTGGCCTGCATGACTTGATGCATGGAAGTGATGAAAATTTAAAGAAATCAACATTAACTTTACTAAAATTTTAGTGCTTTAAAAATTGAATAGTTTATTGTAATTTGCATAAATGCTAACAGCTATATATTTCAAAAGTTTGTTAGGGATGTTCAGAAAGTATGAGTCAACCAACCAAGGTTGAATAGAACAAAGCTTCATTTATTTCAGAGTTTAACACCATGGAGGATTATAACTTTAAAAAAACAACAGAATTCTGAAAGTCATTTAAAAACATTTGTATAGTGTATATGGATGTAGTGAAGGCTTAAACATGTCAACTGTGATTTAAAAATGTTGATTGTAACAGATCTGAGAAGTCTTGAATGTGTCATCTTCCATATCTTTTGAAAGAGATTAAAAATTAAATCCATATCAAAGTACCTGAGATTTGCCACACAAAAATATGATGTTCAGCTGTTCAAATATTTCAAGCAAAAAGTGAATTTGAGATCCTCATGAGCTTTTCCTCAAGAACTGAACACAACATTCTAGCATCTGCAGAATTCTTTTAACAAGGAATGACAACCTTTCATTTTTTCCCTTGCACTATTACAGGTGATGAAAAAAATGGGTTTTGCATATCAACAGAAAATAATGCAAATAAATAAAATAAAATTGTTATTACAAAGTGAGAAACCAGTATCAACACCAAAACTAGGACTCCACCCACAAAAGTCTTTGTTTCTGGTGGAATATATAAAAAAAAAAAAAAAGTTATCTATTACAAATTGATGGAACAGGGAAGGACCACCAGTACTGATATTTATTGCCAGTCATCAGGCAAATGAAACATTATATCAATAGTGTTTTACTAAAAGGGTATTATTCTCCAGCATAACACACTGCAAAATAAATCCAAAGAAAGGAGGGGGAGGGAAATCCTTCATGTGCATCACATTTAGCACCTACAGATTTTCATTTGTTTCTATTATTAGAACATTCAGAAGCAAAGAAGTTTAAAAGCCTTTCATTCATGTTGGGCTGCAGTCATTGGAGAAAAAAAAAAAATGAGGGTATTAAATACTTACATTTATTATGTCATTTCTGATTTATTTCTATAATTACTTGAGCAGTGCACACTTGCAGTCAAAACAGACATCATACATATTGCATGTGAGAGTGAGTAAGAAAACAACAACACAAGATTGAAGAATGAAATAAAGCCAGACACTAGAAAAAAGAAAACAATATATCTATTTATTAAAGTCAAACATTTGTAATAATTTTTCTATTGTAAACAGGCAAAATCTGTAATCAAGTAGAATTGAATGTTGGTAGCAGGTTAAATTGTTTATTTTTAATAACAAAAAGGCCCAGTATACTAACAAGGAATAACAGATTAAAAGTTCTTGCATTAGTGCAGTTCATATTCTAAATGACACCACAGGAGTTATAAGCCATTTCAGTAAATAATCACTGAATTCCCCACAATATTTATGCATGGACAAGAACAATTTATTTTCATTTTTGCTAAAAGCTGCCAGTGTCATTGTTTTAAGGGTAGAAGAATGTGCAGCAACAAAAAGACAAAAAAAAAAAAACAGGAGATAATAAAGTCACAAAGAAGATTTTAAGATCAGTAATAAACACTTTGACAAATACAAGGTAAATTCTTGGTTTCTTCAGGATGGGTGAAATTCAACAGCAAAGTAACCAATAAAAATTATGTTAATCTAGTCACTGCCACATAGTAATGGCCTGCGTAATGTGAGAAAAAAAAATATCAAGATGAAAGTAAATACAAATAATTATTTTTGTATGCTACACAGGATATATTGATTTACCTTTTCTCTCACCATCAGGTACATCAGACTAGATCCTTTGATAAACTATCAAAACTGATCAGTCAAGTTTTAAAATGGTTTATACTGAAATTTGACATGAAATGTCAAATCCTTCCATCCCACCAGAATTTTGAAGTTGTGTCTGGTGTTTCAGCACAAAATGTTTGTGAGCAATATTGTACTATTTTTTTCTTCTGCATAGACCATAAAGAGTCTATGTATATACAATATAAGCCATTATCTCCCCCACGAATATTTATAACACCTGAAAAGATTTAATCAATAGGAAAAAAGGCAACTGTCAAAAAATTGTTGTCATTGTGAAAGATGCGTTATAATTGTTTGTTTGTTTGCATCTATTCAAAGTACCTTTGATTCTTATAAGATGTTATATACATTCCAGTCATATTCCAAAGCAAACCAATATAGACAAAAGGTGGAGAGGGGAAAGAATAAGCCAGAGTTTTTTTTTCTACATTATTCAAATCCAGTAATTAAAATGTAAGGATATAGTTTGTGTAAAAAAGTTTTGAGAACGGATTTGTTTGTTTTTTGAGATAGACATTGTTTTATTCAACCAACAGTAATGCTGGAAGTAAGAAGTTTGGATCATGTTAAACCACATCCATTTCCAGGTTGGAAAAAGATTTATGGACGACTACAAAGTGGTCAAATTTTTTATGACAGAATTTCTTACAACAGAAATTCTATTAAAAAAAAAAGAAAAGAAAAAAAGTCTATTGTTATAATGAAATATTTTCTAAGGCAATTTACTTTCTTGCACATAAATACACAAGGTATCATAAAAATAAATCTATTTTTCTTTACTTGCTTCAATGATGTCAACCAGTACATACATAATGATTTATGATATTGGAACTCAAAACTCATACCAAACCACACATACAGGGTTATGGCCATCCCTAAAACCCTTGGGAGTGCTTTTATCATAAGAAATTGACTTAGAATTCAAAACTTATTCCAGTTATGCATAAGCTTGACTTTAGAATTAGATTTTGTGTATTTATAAATTCAAATATTTTACAAAACAGAGTGGTAGAATAATTCTATTTTAATGATTTATAACATCACTTTATGAAAAGCTCACAACATTTCAGTAATATATTTTCAGAATATCATTTCTTTGTTATCATCCCATTTTCACTAGTGCTGGTTGGTTTGGGACTGAATGAAAACTTATCCTAAAACATGATACACCCTTCTAACTTAAGCTTATCTGACAAATTAACAAGTTAGACAATGTAACAAATTATTTTTAACATTTACACATCTGATGTTCCTCTTCATTATATATATCTTAAAAGAATCAAATCTTCATGAAAATAATATTTTAAGATCTTTATTGTTCTTTTATACAATTGAAAAGAAAAAAAAATGTGAGTAAAAGTAAAATGAACTTCTTGTTTTTAACTATTAAAATAGTTTTGTCTCTAGGTAAGAGAAAGAATAAATTAAATTAAATTATTTTTTTATTGCAACTCCCATTTGTTCAAAATCTGTTAAATATTTAGAAGAGATAAAATATAAAGAAAGAAAGAAAGCCTTCAGCAAGATCTGACCTCCTCTCCCTGGAAACTTGACTTTCCGTGACAGCACCTTTACCAGTTTAACTTTGAAGACAACCAATAAATGAGACACAAAAAGAAAGTCGCATGGATAAGAAATGAGAGGTCAAATCTTACCAGAGGCTGGTGTTTATTTCCAATTCATATTTATTTCAAAACCAGAATAACAACCTGAAAATTTTAATAAAAAGTAAGAGAAACAAGAAATATTTGTCAAAATTAATAACAAACATATTCGATTGTATGAAAATTATTAATCTATAAAACAATTCAAGATATGTTGCTCACTTAGCCATTTGTATGTATTGAAAGTGAGCAAATTATTATTTCAACAGAATATTATAATAATCTGGCTACCAAAAATATTGATGGGATAAAAACCATTAACAACAAATCCTCATTTTTCACAGAGTTTCAGTATCTTTGCTTTGATATGTGAAGATACTAAAATAAAAAAAAAATACAACTAGTTATTTGGTTCCAGAAATGAAAATATTGCCTGTAGTATTAGGTTCAAAAGAGAATGTAAGGCTTCATCTCTAAAAAAAAAAAAAAAAAAAAGTTATAACAAGCACAAAAGACAAACCGGACCTATAATTATAGCTTATAATAATAGATTTGCAGCAATATTTTAATTACAAAGTCTGTTAAATAATAAATATAGTGAAAATAAGAGAAAAACAAATATCAAGTACTGAAATGAAAGAAATTACTGATCAGATTAAACAAAAAATAAAATCAGTCTTTGGCATATTCAGGCATCAAATAGAGAAAAATCTCAAAGCTCAGACAACTTTAATGATTAAGAAATATCATTGATACAAAGCCTAAACTAAATTATTGGATAATTTACAGATTAATTAAACTAGGCTATATTAAGAAAAAAAAAAAAAAAAAAAAAAAAAAAAAATGGAGGAAATTGTGGAATAATGTTTTCCTTTTCTGTCCATACCTTTCTACAAACTAATTTTTTTTCCTCGCACCAATTGACACTGATGATTTTTTTTTTAGTTTCGAAAGTATTTTTATGGGTGGGTGGGAGAAACAGCAACTAGAAAGGAATTTTCATAAGTTCTGAAATACTCAATCACAATGGGATTAAAACAGACTGATTATGCAGACAATTTTCATTCACTCAAAATTCTACCAAAAAAATGACTTTTGGACAATCCTCTAATTAAATGTTCAAATAACTTTTTTTTTCTTACATATTGTTTAGTAATTATTAAAATATTAATTATTTCAGTATCTTTGGTTTGGGATGCTAAAAGATAAATAAAAAAAATACAAGTTATTTGTTTCAGAAATGAAAATATTGCCTGTAGTATTGGATTCAAAAGAGAGAATATAAGAATTCATCTCTTTAAAAAGTTATAACAAGCATAAAAGATAAACCAGACCTATAATTATAGCTTATAGTAATAGATTTGCAGCCAAATTAGAGGAATGGTATCTGAAGTCATCTGCATGAAGAATGCAACAAGTATACACAATGGAGTTTTAAAGTCCCATTATCTACCCTAATATTTGTATTCTTCTATTTCATGTCTGATGCAAGTAGGTATGGTGCTGAATAATAGTCATTTGTTGATAAAAACAGTGAAAACTTCCTTGACTCAAGTTTATACATCTACTTAAAAGATGACCTGATGTATGAAAAAATCCTTTGGACCATTTTAAAAATCTTTTGCTTCATGTTCTACATGAACAATATATTGATATTTTTTTTTTTTTAAAGTTTATTACTTTATAAATTTAAAGTATACTGTCTCACGGAAAAATAGAGATGCAACAAGACTTAACAGCAGTATCTTCATATACACATGTATGCACACACAGAAAACCCAACCAAAAGTATTAATCGAAAAAACTACACTCATCTACTTTATGACGAAAGTCTTTCTTATTCATAAAATATATATATATATATATATATATATATATATATATTGTATGAATATTTCAACATGTAATCAAGCTAAGTCAAAACTACAATTAATGATCTTGTCTCATGTACAGGAACGTTCTAATGACAATAATGTCAATGTGAGCAAGTGGAGGAGGGAGAGTAGAAAGGCAGGAAAGAAAATTCTAAATCTGTTAAAATTTATTAAATCTAAAAAGGAAACTTAATGACAATTCATTTTTTTTCCCTAAACAGGAAGTACGAAACCAAAAGCACTGATAATTTCCAACCACTATCATTTTCACTCATTCACACAATGGCACAATTTATTAGAGAAATTAAAAAAAAAAAAAGAAAAGAAAAAAGGAACAGATGGTCAAGGCACATTAAAACTGTGTGACTGATCATCTCTAGTTCTTAGCAGAATCCTTTGGACAAGGAAAAAAAAAATTATCAGAATATTCAACATTTTACACTTTTACTCATCCTCCCAATCCCATTGAGGAGGTACAAAATCTTCATATTCAGTATTGTAAAGGAATGTGCGTATGAACGCTTCCTTGTCTTTCGGCTCCGGATGAGTACCAGCAATTCCCTCCTTGTACATATATTCAGCCAGTGATGCAGCAATTGACACAGACACATTGGTAATAGTATTCAAGGGTGGGTACACTCTTCCTTCACTCAAGTGGCTATCAGATACCAAACTTGCCAATGTCTGAAAATATGAAACAAAATCAGATTTTCATTTGTAAAAATAATATAATAGCTGAATAAGTATGTATCATGCTTAAAGAAATTGGCAAAGATTATTCACTAAATACTGGATTCATCTGAAGAAAATTGATAATAATTGACAAGTTAAAACCCCAAGATAAGAACATGAATTCAAATCAACTATCATTAATAAATTAATATTTACTTGACAAGCAGAGTGATTATGTTTTTGGGAGCCTATCAACCCTTAAGAGTTATTTAAAATTGTAAGAATAATTCTTTTGTAAATGAATATTGCATGAACAATTTTATGAAGATATTCTTTTTTTCCAGCTACAAGTCTTATTTAACCTATAGCTGGGGAAAGAAGAGAGTTATACCTTTTTTATGGATATTTGGACAGAAGTGAATATAACTTGACAAACAGATGGGAAACATTCATGCACTGAACAGTGAACATGACAGCATTGCTTGCAGTCAAGTTAAAGAACTGACTACATATTTTTGTTCTTATACAGGGTGGGGAGGCAAAATTTGCACTAAAAGTTTTACTTGTTTTTCTTATGAAGCAGTTCACCTCATTTTATGAAATCTGGTGCATTTTATTATCATAAACTTGCATAATAATAACCCACATTTTTTTTCCCAGATAATTGTGTAAAAGATGAGTGTTGAAGAAAATAAGTGTCAAAGGGTGTGTGATATGATAAATGCACATTTTTATCCACAGAAGATTTCAAGCATGGTTGGATTATCCCTACGGACAGTTTTTAATGTGAAGAAGAGAATGACTCTGAGGGAAACTATTCAAAGAAAGCCTGAAAGTGGCAGAATCAACAAAAAGCACAATAATGATTTCATCAACACTCTCAAATCCAAAATCTCAAAAGACCCAACGAAACCCATGAAAAAATTAGCAACTGAACTTAAGGTCAATGCCAAGATGATCAGAACAGCAGCGAAAGATGACTTAAAACTAAAATCTTACACAAAAACACCAAGACATTTGCTGACAACCCATGAAGGCCAGAATGATGCAAAAAGTTCTTATCTTAAAAGTAACAAATTCAACCTGAGAAGAATGACATATATTGCACACTCAAAATCTCATGTTAAGGGCACTTTCAGAACAAAGCATCCAGCTCAAGTTATGGTCTTTGGAGTTGTTACCTCCAAGAGGAAAAAATGCCTATCAAATTTTACAAACCTGGTGAAAAAGTTAATACTGATGCCTATTACAAGACTGAGATACAATGTATTACCATGGCTCAAAGCCAACTACCCAGAGGGAAACTATGTATGGACTCAGAATGGTGCTCCTGTTTATACAACCAAAGAAGTACAGAATTTCTGCAAATCCAATTTTGCTGATTTTTGGCCATCACACTTCTGGCCCACTTCCAGCCCAGATCTCAACCCTCTAGATTATGCTGTTTGGAGTATTTTAGAACATTCTACTAATAGAACCTCTCATCCAAATTTTAATTCTCTTATGGATACCATCAGAGAAGAATGGGACAAGATGTCTTCCATTTTTTTTTGGAGAAGAGTTGTAGAAGTTTCAGTGAGCGTGTGGAGAAGGTAAATGAGAAACAAGGAGGGCATATCGAATAAAATGTTTCTTTCATTTTGTATTTATATGTTGGAACCATTCATATTTTTTTTTTTAAATAATCTAATTAATCAACTATAAGGCTTTTTATTTCAATACCAAAATTATGCAAGTTTTGCCTACCCCCCCCCTTATGTAAAATACCAAAGTACTTATTGTATCTGATTATCCATAAAGAGGCATGAGCAAGTTAGAAATATCAATTTCATGGAAAGGGTTCAGAAACAAGTTGCAGTCTCTGAGTCTACATTGTATCTGACGTAATTTTTTATTGATTTATTTCACCCTTCCCAATTAAATTTTCACAAACACTGTTTGCCAGCATATATTTTTTTTTTTACATTACTTTTTGTGAAATAATACTCAAAGTTTGGAGAAGAAAAAAATTATTAATGAGAATTAACAAAGACCAGCAATTTTATTTATTTATTTTTTTTTAAAATCTCATTTTTATCTAACATTTTCGATTTACTTCCTTACAGTTAACTTTGCTAATTTCTAAGATAATAATATCCATTAAAACAACTGCTACTGCTGATAAAAGATTTGATAAAAAATAGGTAAGGAAAACAAGTTGGAATTGCTAAGATAACAATAACAAAACCTTATTAAAGGCATTTTAAATTTTCTCCTAAAATCTGTAACAAGTAAAATTTGGATTTTCAGCTACACAATATTCTTATTCCTGGTATAATGAACATGAAACTAGCTGGGTTGAGGGCATACTTACCTGAGCAGCACGAAGGAAAAGGATTTCTGGTACATGCCGAGCTCCACATGTAAGCACAGCCAAAGCAACACCAGGGAAAATGTAAGCATTATTTCCCTGTCCAGTGTAATATGTTTTTCCATTAAAAGTGAATGGATCAAATGGACTGCCACTGGCAAACACACAGCGACCCTGTAAATAAATTAATAACCACAAATTTAAATAAATATTCACATATTAATAGTCTTATTTTTTAAGCTTTACATAATGTCAGAATTTGCTCTCACAAGGAATTTTGCATTGAAGTGATCGTTGATAAAATTTTAAGGATATAATAATTTCAATTTATTTTTATTAAAACAATTTACAATAAATGATCTTGTGGTGCAAAATATAATAAAATTTGAGGATTGTTCATCTTGTTCATATGAGAATTTTGTTGAATGCTAAAGGGTTAAATAGGTGAACAGTGATCATAGAACAATCAAAAAAGAAATTGAAAATATTGGTAAGGTAGAACAGGAAAAAATGGCTTTCATGTCACAAAAAGAAAATGAGAAAAATGAAAAAGGGTAATTAGTAATAGAAGTGGACTGATCAGCAAAGAAATATTTGAAGATTGTATAGCAAATGGAGAGAAAAGGTGTAGAATATTAAAAATATTGGTTGAAGACATGAAATCAGCCAAACTATTGCCTTTAAATTAACGTCACAATAGTTAATCAAAAGAAACATAAAATGCACAAAGAATTACTTGAAAACTAATTTCACAATTTCTTTTTTAGTAGATACAGGGGTGGACCTGATAGTTGCATGAAAACTTGGGCCCTTCAGAGTCAATCAATGTGACTTAGAAGACAACAGGTGGAATCATGTTTTGAGTTAATATTGTAGGTAGTAAAATAATTTCCACCAAAATTGATAATGGTATCTAGAAAAATGCAGAGAATTATTTTGAGTTTTTTGAGAAGACATTTTGTTTAGGTAATAACAAAGAACTTTTAGGTTAAGAAGTATCTTCATGCAAGACTACTCATTCACATTCACAAAGCTGACTATTGTACACTTTGCCAAAAACAACTTCAATGGCTCCTAACCTCTCCAAATATTAATTCAATAAAAAAAAAAAAAAAAAAACAAACTTGTAATCCATCATTAAAAGATGTATATAAGAATGGAAAATAATATTCTGGCAAACAATAAAACCTGCTGCAAGTAATGTTAAAGCTGAAATAGTAGCAAAATTAAAAATTCATGGGTGAAAGACTTCTATGGTTTATATCTTTTAGATTTAATTATAAATAAAATTTTATGCTACACATTGTATTAAACAAAACAAGTTATCGATCCCTATTAAAAATATTGATACATGAAACTCTGCACATATTAATTACATACTGAAAATTTTACCAACATCAAATGGTTAATACCAATTTTATTGTGAAAACATTGACATGAATAAGTGTGTGTGTGTGTGTGTGTGATAGACACGAGTGATGCAGAAAAATTCTCAATCCATTGAAGAAAACCTTAAAAATAAATTCATATTTAGCTATTTTTTGAAAAGTAGTTAAAGCTAATAACCTTTCAGCATATTCAATTATTACAGAAAAACAATACAGGTAAAAGAATTGATCTGACATTTTACTGTAAGAAAAAAAAATAAATAAAATTAACATTAATTGACCTTGGTTGGCAGAAACAAAATTTTAAATTTCACTCACCAACTATAATTGAACATACACGTTTGTTGAGTGTTACTGCTTATAAAATATTTAAATTAAGAAAAAAAAAAAAGGGGGGTATCAAAAATGCATATTTACCTCGGAGAAAGTATAAGCCTGTTCTGCTGTGCACTCAGATTTACTAGTTGGATTACTGAGAGCAAATATGATTGGTCGCTCATTAAATTTAGCCATGTCACGAATTATCTTTTCCGTAAAGGCTCCAGTAACAGCAGCCGCTCCTATTTAAAATAAAAGGTGTGAGAATTTTTTTTTTTTTTTTATGACCATAGAAAGGAGCTAAACAAATGTTACATCTACTGTTTAGTTTAGCATACAAGGTAAATTCAAATTTAAAAATAAAAAAAAAAGGGGGGGGGAAAGAAAGTGGTATTTTATAGTTATATTATTTCAGGATATTAAATTTCACAACACAAAATTACTATATTATTTACACAAGTAAATATGATGGTAGATGTCCAACTCTTTGCTCAAAACCCAAACATATTCCTAACAAGCTTGGATACCAGTTGGCATAACAGCATAAAGTTTACTAACTAATCGTAATATGTAATTAATTTAAGCAAATATGGACATTAAAATAAGAGTAATATTTTGGCAAATATGGATAAAAATTCCCACAATAAAATGTGTCAAAAGGATGGTTTTTCTAATGACTGTTTTTTTAATTTCTACATGGACAATATATTGATAATTAGTTTTTTTTTTTTTTTTTTTTTTAAAGTTTATCACTTTGGCAATGTTTGTTTTAACTCTTTGAGCCCTGCATACCTGAAAATTTGAATCCTACCTGAGCTCCTGGGTCAAAATTCACAAATAATTGGTATGTAATGTTTCACGGTAGATATAAAAATAGTTACAAGTGTTTACCCACTGTTCAACTGGTAGCTGGGCATTATGTCATTTTTCTCTACCACCAGTAAAGTGGTGGTCAGGGCTCAAAGGGTTAAAGGCAATGATCAGAATTTGAATAAAACCTGAATACATGAATGTGAATTTATACAATTTTTTTTGTTCTTGAGGATTTACAACAAGACCCTTCAACTTGTGAAGAAGATCAGGATGCCAAACCCTGTCAAATGTCTTTGAAATATCTAAAACAACAGCCATTCACCATTCTTATTTAAAACTTGACAAACTTTTAGTAAGAACTGACAGTGGTTGACCTAGAGAAGTGAAAATCATAGTTTGTTTGTCAGAAGACTGCGAGATGAGATGCATAACTAATTTGGAGTTCATTAGAGCCTCTAGTACTTTGCCAAAAAGGTAAAAGATTAAATCAATAATTCAAAGGATCAAATGGTTCATCAGAGTTCTTAAAAACAGGAACTACAGAAGAGGATTTCCAATAATCTGGAAAGCAAGCAGCAAAGTATCTATTATAAAACTTTTAAAAAGTTGTCCAGTTCAGGGGCACACTTCTTAAAAACAATTGCAGGGATACAATTAAATTGGCATGCTTTGTATGGATCAAGTTTTAAGTGGAAAGTCAGGCAAAAGGACTAAATGAAAAATAATATATTCTATTTGTTCCTGGTGAGTTTCCAATGAAAAAGAAATGAAAATCAGAAAATGTATTTTAAGGTAAAACTGAAAATACATTTTTTTTGTGTGAGCATTAATAATGAAAGTTGTATTATAGCCTTACACCAAATGGTTACAAAAGGTAATAGCAATTATAAAAGATACACTTGTATAGCAGGAAGAGGTATAGCCTTCACTGATCCATTAAGTGTGTATATATATATATATATATATATATATATATATATACACCACAGAGTCAGCATCATGAAATTAAGAATGCATAGATATAGCTATGTGTTTAAAATAGTCTATAAAAATTTAGATGCATAAAAGATAAATAATTGAAAATAACTCATTTTATCTTTCTTACTTTGAAAGACTTGTAAGAATAACACACAAAGAAACTGAAATGAGTAAATGAATGATGTATTTAAGAATCATCCCTGGGAGCATTTTTAGTCTAGGGTAAAAAGAGGGAAAAATTCTCACATGAAGAAATTACCTGAACTCCTTTAAGTATAAGGTGTTGATACAGCCTGGCAGAGCTAATATGTGAACTTACTTTTCCTTGGTAATGAATAACCAAAGATTAGGTAACAAATGTGCTAGAGAAATAAATGAATATTTTTTTTTTTTTTTAATGAATTTGTGATTTATAAATATTACCAATTAACAAATAGAGGCCATGTTCTGAGGATGAGGTTAAATATATATAAATTTCAACTGAATTTCCTTGATATTTTAATAAAAGAAAAAGAGGATTAATAGTAAAAGACATTTTTGTACTTCTATTTATCTTTAATTCTGCATTTAGATCATAAAAATTTGAAAATTGGATAACTTAGGTTCTCTTGTAACAAGCTTATTTTTTTTTTAAGTTCAGTAGTCAAATTAACAAACTTACCAATTAGTGCTGTAGGTTTTAAGATTTCAACTGCTTCCTGTAAAGTGTCTACTGGTCTATGATCTTTAGCAAAGTGGGCTTTGTGCCCAGTTATTCCACCAGATGGACGATCCTAGGAAAATATTTAATAGATATCAGGTCATTTTCATTTGATTTAAAAATAAAAATAAATAAATAAATAAATAATATATATATATATATATATATATATATATATATATATATATGATACTTGTAGCATAAGCCATTTCCAATTTTATTTTCTACTGAAAAGATTAAATATTTTTTCCCTTATATAAAAAAAAAAAAAAAAAAAAAAAGGCATATTTCCTCTCATTTCCCACACATTATGAAGAATTATAGTTACTTTAAGTTAGAACTACTGCAGGTAATCTGATTAAAACAACCTATTATACAAATTTATTTGGCTATTTTCTTTTTTTGTCCTGAAGCCAAATTTGGCTTCTGAGAGTTTAACAGGTAAAATTTAAAAGGCATTCCATCGACTTTTTCATTTTATGAAATAGTGAAATTTTCAAATATTGTTATAAGCCAACAGAAAAAAAAATATATTAAAAACTTATTTGTAATTAGATGTTTGTCTTCCGTTTACAATAAGACTGAACAGAAGAAATAAAGCATTACACAAAATAGTTTCAGCTTCCCCTCCATCCCTGCCCACTCGTAGAAATGGACTGTGCTGGATAATGTCATAAGCAAAGAAGTAGTGTAGCTGTGGCATCAATAATAAGTGGGCAGCACTCTAAACCATTTGGCTATGAAATAATTGTTAAGACCAGAAAGATAACACTATTTCCAAGGTAGCAATTGCTTTAGGTCTTTTTGATTAGGTAACACTAGCAAGGTTATAACAAGTAATATGTGAATACTAGACAGACATAAGCAACTCATGAAAATTGCAGGCACCCACAGGTGATAAAAAAAACCCACTGACAAGCATAGTAACCACTCAACAAAAGGAGACACCACATCAAATCCAATCCCAATTCAATGCAGGTGCAACCCAAACCATAAGCACTGTATAGTGTACACAGAATTTCATGGGGTTTTAGTCAACCAACCAGAATACCATTATTGAAACTATAGCATCAGTTATTGCACCTCACATGGATCAGAGAATATCAACATTGAACTACATCACCTGATCAGGTGAATGCTACCCACTCTTGAGTAGAAAATGGAGTTCATATACAGAGGAGAAAATATGAAGCTATGAATACAGCCATGTTAGCAGCAAGCTAGTAGTAGCACTGTGGAGTGCATTCTGTTGGAGCTCAGATTGACCACTAATAAAAACTCTAGAGTATCATAAAAACAAACACAGCTCTTGCTGCTGGTTATTTACACACCCTTTATGACTGCCAGGTTTCCTGATGGCAACAATTTGTTTCAGCAGGATAGCACAAAGCTCACACTATAAACATTAAACTGGTTCAAGGAACACTCAGCTGAGACCAGCAACTTCATTGGTGTGGCAAAAGGACTTAGTGTAGTAAAACTTCTCAGCCAAGCCCCAGTAATTTCTGCAGTGTTTGCAAAATGTACGGTCTGGAATTGTAATGAAAAACAATGCTCTTATGATTTGCAAGTGATCGATATTTCTGGTAGATCGGTGCATTTAATTTGTCCAGCTGATCATAGTACATATCCAAATTGATGGTTCTGTTCATGAGAAGAAGCTCATAAAAGACAACACTCTTCCAATCCCATGAAATTGAACCCATCACTTTTGTGTGAAATCTTTGTTGTTTGTCGTAATTTGATTCACTTCCCACATGATTGATTCTGATTTATATTGTTATAGGGGATCCATTTGTTGGCCCTTGTTACATTATTATCTTAAAAAAAAAAAAAAAAAAAAAAAAAAAAAATTTTCTTCACATTTCTACAACAAATCACAGATCAGAAATCCATTGAGTAAGGGTAAACAGTGAGTCTGCTGGCATAACCAAGTCAATGCAAATGGTTTTCAACACGTTAGATATTTTGAGAATATTTGCATACATCCTGGTTGTATAAAAGATTAGTGTCAACTAATTCCTTCATTTTGTTGCTGTTAATCTCAGTTGGCCAGTCATAGCAAAGTGCATCCTGAACGAAAAAAATTTCCCAATCAAAATCTGGAAAACCATTTGTGGCATACATGTTACACAACAGTAACGTCTCCAAATGCAACACATACCATCCATCAGGTTTCTCATACATTCTTACCATTTTTTTTTTTTTTTTTATTAAAAACCATCAGGTGTCAGTAATGGTCACTTTTGTTCTTTTTCAGGGTGATCCCAAGTACACACTATACAACTTGTCTTGTGAAAAATTTACAGAAAACTATTGTGACAATACGCTTCCTCACATCACTGTACAAGCTGTGATGACATCCAAGGTAGGCTGTATGCATATACACTAAGCTCACTATGTTCTTAGGTTTGTCTCTCTGGCCATGATCAAATTCAGCAAAGAATAATGAAATACTTTTCAAGACACTGGTTAGGGAGTAGCATACAATACAATTTCTCACTTAATCAGCAAAGTCTTCCTTCAGCTTCAAAAAGGTGAACTCTTGTGAACTTACTAACTTCTGGCCATGGAAAAAAGACCCTTACACTCTGTGCCTGTCTCAGAGACTGTGGGTCCTTTCCTTACTTGGCAATTGCTTCACTCACCACTTATTATATGTATAGTGGCTGGAGGATCCGTCACCCTCTATCCATCCACTTGTATTCTGGAAAAGGAGACCACCCATTCAGTTTTTGGGTGGTCAATTTTTCAAGGTTTCTACTTTTATGATTATCTAAAAATTGCTAACAAAATTTTATGTTTGCCAGTTCAAAAGTGGGTTGGAGAAAATATACTTGAAAAATGCTGGTCATTAAATTGACTCCAAGATGTGCTGGAGACAAGATTTCTAAGAAACCCTGATTATTAAATTGACTTAAAATGAAAAAGAATCTATATTTATCTCCTAAGGATGTGTGAGAAATCATATTGCTAGACTATGTTGAAGTGTCAAGTATCTAACGAGTATGCAAGTGCAAGGGACAAAATTATAAAATGCTTGACGTTTAATATCAAAAAATGATTAATCAAAACAAAATTCAAAAGTAAAAAGGTTACTCACCTTTACGATGAGGCCTCTGGAATCTACCATCCAAATCTTAGAGAAGGCTTCTTCTTTTGTAGCCCCACTCTCAATCATTGCCAATGCCACCAAATTGGCAATACCAATGTTGGCCTAAAACAGATATTGAATGAAAGTAATTTAACATGCTTAAATATGATTTATCACAACAATATCATATCTTTGCTTGTTGCATTAAAACTTTAAAAGTTTATAAGATCTTGGAAAGGTTTGTGATCAATTTAAATATTTATAGTGCGAGTCAATGATTTTACTGTCAATCTTTCACAATTTTGATATATTGTACTTGTAAATTGCCAAAAAGAAGAAAATTTGTAAGTTTTTTTTCTTTCAGTGGTGTCATTGTTGTCAGTTATTGTGTCTATACATTTGTTCATTGTAATGTTTATATTTTTAATTCAACAAAACCTTTTTTCTTAAATGGATGCCCTCAAAACAATATGACTCTCATAAGATGGCATCGCTTACAAAACCAGTTTGAACAAAACATCTGCCTATCTCTCAAAACATAAAATACACTGCTTTACAAATATAACATGTTGCTTTCTACAAACAAAAAAAAATTTTTTTTTTTAAATTTAAAAAAAAGTTAAATTCAAATGTGGGACATTCATATAGTCTATTTTCAAAATTTTCTCGGTGAACAATTTTGTTTCTAATATAAAGATTTTTGTGAAGATGATATAAATGTAAAGTTTGGCATTAATAAATATGTAAAACTACTCACCAGAAGAAACTCAAATAAGATGGAGTCCCCTCCCCCACTATGCTTAAATAGAGTTGCATCAACAATTAATATCTACTATTAAGTAGATATTAAAATGACATTGTTGATGCAACTCTATTGTTGCCAAATGTTATTATTGATTCAAACAATATATATGCAGACATTTAGTAATAGTTATGAATTAAACATTTGTTGTACAATTAAATACTTATTAAAAAACAAAGTCAATTGTAAAAGTTACTAAAATTAACCTTGTTCTATGTATTTGTTGAACTAAGCCAACTTCAGCAAAAAGGATCTTGTTGACCTCTCCATGATTATCAAAATATTTGATGTCTTTCAAAACACACATACTAAAACACTATTAATATGAATATTATGATTGTGGTTCCATCATGTCTCAAACTGCTTCAGTAAAAAACTTAATTGGAAGTTAGTTTGTATGTTGGATGATACTATTGGACAGATTCCTTAATGGATAATTGAAAGGACAACTATTTAATGCAAGAAAAATATGGTAATAAAATTAGGAGGTGACCAATAACTCGGGTCCTCAAACTAAATTTTTTTTTTTTTTTTTTTTTTAAATGTTGACCTTTTGTAAAATGTGATTCTTGAAGAATATAACTGCTAATGAAGATAAAAAACCATAACCTTAGTCTTTTATTGATTCATTCAGTGAGAGGAAGGAGATTAAAGATCTTTTAGATGGAGCACAGATATCAGATTACATGATCAAGTCAGCCTCAACTATGTTTTAATTTCATACATTATATGCATGTAACCCTGAAAAGCTCAAGCAATCTCAGTATAATACTTTGAAGATAAGGTTAGAACATTGTTTTCTACAGCATTAGTGTGGGTCACTTCCACTCGGGTTTAATTGTAGACATTTGTCTATTTTTAACAATAGGTTCCAAAGAGTTTGAACATTAAAACAAAGTATTTTCTTTACTAGTGAATGCAAAAGTAAACACAAAAAGTTAAAATTTTGAATATAATAAAATGTTACTGACTTCTCCAGCTCCTTGGAATAAAAATATATTGTCAACTAATTTTCTCTTTGTGATTCTCATGCTAGCAATAATTCCAGCAGCTGCTACAGATGCAGTGCCTGTAAAGAAAATAAAAAACAATAAAGAGATGTTATAAACAATAACACTTAAATAAAACAAAGATTATTTTAATATGTATCATTTATCTGTGTATTGGAAATTATATTTTAGTTAATATAGAGTGGGGAGGCAAAATTTGCACTAAAAGTTTTACTTGTTTTTCTCCTGAAGCAGTTCAACTAATTTTATGAAATCTGGTGCATTTTATTATCATAAACTTGCATAATAATTACCCACATTTTTTTTCAGATAATTGTGTAAGAGATGAGTGTTGAGGAAAGTAAGTGTCAAAAGGTGTGTGATATGATAAATACACATTTTCATCCACAGAAGATTTCAAGCATGGTTGGATTATCCCTACAGACAGTTTTTAATGTGAAGAAGAGAATGACTATGAGGGAAACTATTCTACTAACAGAGCCTTTCATCCAAACGTTAAGTCTCTTATGGATACCATTGGAGAAGAGTGGGACAAGATGTCCCTTGGTTTTTTGGAGAAAAGTTGTAGAAGTCTCAGTGGGCGTGTGGAGGCAGTAAATGAGAAACAAGGAGGGCATATCGAATAAAATTTTTCTTTCATTTTGTATTTGTATGTTGGAACCATTCATTTTTCTTTAAATAATCTAATTAATCAACTATAATGCTTTTTTATTTCAATACCAAAATTATGCAAGTTTTGCCTCCTCACCCTGTAATTTCTACTAGTCATCAATTAGAACTGATTTGATAGAGAAAAATACAAGTTCATGTGAAAATAAGATTCTGAACAAAGTTTATTTATTGAAATTGCTAATGCAAATAAACCTGGATTAACACTTGTGCAGTGAAATAAATCCTAGGCATTGTTTTATTCTAGGAAAATACATAATAAAATTAATCCATTTAAAAGGACCAGAAAGGAAAAAGGATAGTGATAATTTTAACACAGAATTTCCTTTAAGTCCTATTCTGATAAAAGATGCAATATATGCTCAGGTTTTAGATACAAATACCTACATCAGTTGCTTACATATAGAACAGTTCTTACTCAGAAGTAACCACATTTCTTCTTTAATGTGCCATGTCCTTTCAGGATGTAGTCAATCATGACCCTCCACATTTTCCTGTCCCTTGTAGCTCTTAATAAGTTGTTTTTTTTTTTTTTTTTTTTATTTCTCCCAAACCCTGTTCTGCCATCTATTTGCTCAAGCCCATTCAGTATGTTATGCACTGCTTTAATCTGCCCAGTGAGTATCAGATTTTCCAAGCCCTCCTTATGTGCCCCAGAAATATCAACAGCCTCTTCCTGGTAAGTTTTTTTGTTTCCATTCTCTCCAAAACCTCATTGTTGCTCACGTGTTTGGCCCAAGGTTTTCTCAGCATCTTTTTGCAGAACCATATTTATGTTACTTCAAGTCTCTTCATCTTTGAGGAGATTGTCCAGTATTTTCTGCCATACAGGAGGATAGATATCATGTAACAGTTCAGTACTCCCTTCTTTGTTTTCAATGAAAGATGATTGAAATTTTAAAAACTCCAAAATGTGTATATATTATATTTATATATATATATATATATATATATATATATATAAAGAAGCAAAACTTACCTTGGATGTCATCATTGAATGTACAATACTGATCCCTATACTTTTGTAAAAACCGGAAAGCATTGTGGTTTGCAAAATCTTCAAATTGGATCAAAGTATTTTGCCCATATCTGCAAGTAAGATTTAAAATTACAATTTTTTTTTTTATACTTCATTTTTAAAATGTCAAACTAGAAAAAACAAAAAAACAAATACACACAAGCTATCTTATACTTGAATAAACATTAATAGAAATGTAATTAGATATAATCACAATATAGTGGTAAAATTTTAAACTTCAATCTATGTACATTTTTACAAAGTTTATGTATTAAAACGTGATCTAAGAAATAGGTATATGTAAGATAAAAAGGTACAGTCATATATCTAGTAAATGTCATTACATAGCTAACTATAATTAATAGAAAAATAAAATTGTTTAGATTGGTAAAAAGCATTGTCATTAATTTTGTAATGAGTTTTTCTTTCATTTACAAGGAAAAAAAATGGATCAGGGCAAATATCAAATTTGAAGTTTGGTTTTGCTAATATTTTCACTTAATTTTTTTACCCCCACCATAGCTAATTATTTATATTTTCTAACTGTGGTTATGATTTCTGTCAAAAATGCTCTTTAATAGTTTTATTGATTGCAAATATTACAAGGAGGTTTACCTGCGTACAACAGCCTGCATGAATTCATCAATAAACTCATCATATCGAGGACCAGTAACACGTGGCATATTTAAACCTATGTACAATGGATCATTACGAATTTTCTGTCAGGAGAAAAAAAAATTGAATTACAAATTAAAAGAATACAGAAAATATCAGTGTGAATTTTTTTCTTCAAGACTAAAGAATAATCATCAAATGAATAAAGATTTGCTTCCCTTTATTCTTAAAACATTGACTCCTGTCAAAAAAGAAAAACAAAAAAAATCATGTTTTGTACAGTTATATATAGGTGCCTACAGATTTGTAATACCTAAGGCTTAAAATTAATTTTTTAAAATGAAAAATCTTTCTTGAAGGTTTTATTTTAGTTTTCAATTTCAAGCTAATAGATTAGATTTAATATTTACCAATAAGCAAAATACTTTGCTCTATTTCAAAACTAATTTAAATTTGACTGGAAGGATTTTGGTAAAAATTCCTTTTAAGCCCAATTTTTAGACTGCATTTATTGTAAAATAATTCTCTTTATTAAAAAAAAAAAAAAAAAAAAAAAAAAAAAAAAAAAATATTTTTTCCTAAAATAAAATATACTTTTCTGAAACTTTCTTTGAGGAAAATTAGCTGATTTAAAGTATAATTTATCTGATTTGAAACAAATATCATTTACTTTAAGTTTAAAATATCACAGAAATGCATTTTTTTTTGATTAGTAAATATAGTTTTTACTTAATATCATCTAAAAGGATGAAATTAATACATAATTTTCAAAGATTTAAAACCTAATAAATTGTTCTAATTAAAAAGTGTTAAAAAAAAAAAAAAAAAAAAAAAAAATTCTTGTAAAAATTCATTAATCAATTTATTTTTATAAGTGTCCTTAATATATCTTATTTATAAAAGGAATTAAAATCTTTTTTAATTAAATAATGTCTTAGTTTTATTGCATTTTTTTTTTATTTTACAATTTTCAGTAAATGGTGTTTCTGCCTTACAAAAACAAATTGATGATTTAAATTCTCCAAAGAGTTCTGTTTTTAACTAATATAAATATTAAGGGTATGAAATTTAACTTCTTGAAATTTCATAAAATGAGGGGGGGGGATGTTAAAAAAAAAAAAAAAAAAAAAAAAAAAAATAATTCATTTGTGAATAATTTCTGAAAGTTCCATTTAAATTCAGCAATTATTTGATTTTTACAAGAATTTACAAATCAATGTTTTCTACTACAAGAGAAAGTTAAAATTTCCTATGCTAATCTGACACAAGAAAAACAAGATTTTTAATCAAAATTTCGAACTTGCTAAAAAGGATTGAAAATATAATCAAATAATCAAAAAATACCTTTGGTCTTTCCTCTCATTAATAGCAAAGATTTTGGTGATAAACCTTTGTTTTTATGTTTGGGTCATTTTTTCATCATGTCATGCTCTTTTTCCAGTGAATTAGTACATTTATTGTATATAATTAGGTATATCCACTAAATTTGTATGAAAGAAGATTTGAAATTATTGGTAGATTTTTGAGAGTGGGAGAAAATGTTTAACATGAGTTCATTAACCTCATATTTTGAGTGTGCCTCATCAGTCATGTCTAATTACTTTAAAAGTAATATTTTAATTTGCTTATACTTAGTTTCATGTCAGAAATAAAAGACCTGTTTGCATATGATTTCAAAGTAATTTTAAGACAACTAAGTGAATAAGTTAAATTGATATTGTATTTTGTCTAAATTGCAACACACAACAAAACATTAGCTCTGTCACCATATATAGTTATATTGTTCCTTAATTAACTAACTCATTTTTCTTTATAAATGTATTTTTAAAAATCTAAATTTCTCATGAACAGAAACTTTTGAAGTCTAAGGATACAGTTCATAGAATTGACCAAACATTTAAAGTGACAGACTTGACAGAAAACAGTTTCTGGAAAACCTAAAGTAACAAGCCAAGATGAGAAAACTGAAAAATAACAGTTCTGTCGCACAAGAATTTGGAAATTTAAGAAAGAAAATTGTTTTGCTTCAAGAAGAAAGTAGTGTGTGCAAGGAGATTTATATAGCAAACTGACTCAAATCTTTATCACTTTATAGCCACCATGATATTTATTGTTCTCTAGTAACATTTTTGAGCTTTCTACCAATATCCCAGTTTTTTTTTGCTTTGTTTTTTTAAACCTAGAAGTATCCAGAAAACTGTTTTCCTGTTACTGTTTACAAAATAACAATGATAGTTGGTTTTGTATTCACCTAAATTTATCCACACCCAAATAAAGCTTTCTGTATAGTTAGGAATTCTCTATTCAGAAAAGAATGTATAATAGTTTAATCAATGCAAAAATATATAAATGACAAAGCTATCAGTTTAGCTTGATACACTAAAAATGCCCAAACTACATAAACTTATTTGCCAACATTGCAAATAACATCTGTTACAAAGTTTTTTTTATTGCATATATTAGAATTCTAAAATTAAATCTACTGAAAGTAATGAAACAAAAAACAGATTTGATAAAGTTTTACCTCATTATTTGTTCCAACATCTAATAAAATGGGGAGGCATTTGCTTGGCTGGATTCCACCCAGAGCAGTGTACAAAGATAGCTTGCCAACTGGAATACCCATACCATAGGCACCCAGATCACCAAGACCAAGAATACGTTCTCCATCAGTCACAACAACTGCCTGTAAAATCATCAAAACATTTTTTTACCAATAAAACAAGAGATGGGAAAAGCAAATAAAATTAACATTAGTTTTAAAATAATATTTCCTTTAGCAAATCAGCACATGTGTGTGTGCGCATATGTGCGTGTTGTATATCCCCTTTGTTCTGGGGAAAGTCTTTTGGTTGACAGGGGTGATTCCATAACGTATTTTCTCTCGTTTGTCTTCTGGCATGGCATTGAAATGTATTTTGAGTCCGGAAATGAAAGAGAACTTCAACAAAAGGGATTTTTAAACTTATCTATTTTATTAAACACACCAATGTGTACATTTTTAACTAGCTAGTGGGGTTGCTGAATCACCCACACTGAGGAGCAAGTTCCCCAAGACACGAAATAATCACCTCTACTGTTTATGACTTGTAAAAACCTAAACTCCCTGAAATCACTTTTTATCTAATATTTCCACATTAGTTTTAACCAATCAAAAACAACTTCCTTTGTTTTCCCGTATCTGACCTCAAAAGGTCAAAATGAGGAATCAGAGGAAAATACAATTCTTTAAAAAATAATAGTCTGCTAGACTATTATTTAACACACATACAGTGCATATGTTACTAGTGCTACCATACTATTTTTTCATATAATCACCAAAATAGATGCACAATTTCATAAATATCCTTTCCAAAAAAACAGATCATCAAGCAACCTTAGTCACTCTTAGGTCCCAACATATGATAATTAGGTATCAAATCAGGAATATACAATGGACATGATAAAATATCCAACCATCTTTATATGTCACTATATATAGCCATACTGACAAGATTGTCATGTAGCAATATAACATCCTTTTGTAAACCTCTTGGTCTCTTTCAACAACTTTGCTCAGTCTTCCCAGTGTTTCACAGTATCTGAGTTAACTCAGAACATGTAGTTTGAAGTCCATTACCAACAACTTTTGATTTAGATCCCAGAATGCTGTTGCCATTAATTTAAACTTAATTGTTTTTTTTTTTTTTTTGTGGGGGAGGAGTCTGGGGGTAGTGATGATAGAAACTTTTAGGTCATGGAATCAATCTTAGTCTCGAGAGTAATGTGATGCACTGGTTAAATATATAAGAAACCCAAAACCAAAGAATGAAACCCATTTTGAAATTGCATCTTCACTTGACTCAATTAAGTGTATAATAATTATAAACTAAAACCGAGTATATTCATATAAATCTTAACTGTTTAAAATTCAAACAATGATCATTTTCCTTCCATTTTACGCTGGCCATATATATTTTTTTTTATCATTATCAATATCAGGTAGAATAAAATGAACTATTATTAATATTTAATACATCACTTCTAATAAAACTATTTTTCACAATTAGCAACTACTATCAATATAATTTTTTTTTTTGCGTCTTTCAAACCACCCAAAATCTCAGCTGAGGATCCATTAAATTGTTGCTTGCTTTTGAAAAAGTTAGTGTGACCAATATGTATCAAAAGGTTTGTGGCAGATATTGTAATATCTCACAACCAATATCCATTTACATATGAAAAACAACATTATTCAGTTCTAGTTAAAGTGTCCACCCCCCAATTTGTCCTGTAAATACATTTATTTCTACTTCAATATTATTATCAATTTATTGTTGAATGCATTCCAAATATTTTGTTTTTAAATTTATAATCTGATTGAAATAAATAAATAATAAATAATAATAATAATAATAATATATATATAACAAACAATTGTGCCCTCTGCACTGATACTAATCTCCAGGAGAGCAACTTATTGCACCTTTTTGGTCACATGTTTTACACTGGCATAAAGTGAAGTGAATCAATTGCTAGGTCAGCTGCTAGTGAAGTTGTGAATACCCTTTTGTGTCAAACAATTTTTTGCATCAGAAGCCCATCTTCAAAAATCTACCATTTGCCCACGCATTAAATATTGCTGTCATATCTGGTTTGGTGCTCCAATAAGGTTCTTTATTGTAATCGATCCTGACCTGGAATCTTGATTTCAGTCATTTCCCCCACTTCCATAACATGGATTCCCTGTCTTTTCAATAAATATTTTCATGTCAATTGTTCTAATTGTTCTTTCCTCCTTGGTACCTTTTATATTTTATTAATCCGGCAGATTTTTATCACTGAACAATTTTTTTTTTTTTTTTTTTAGTAGGCACTCAATTTATTTCTTATACAGTCTATTTAATTATTTATTTTCATCTACCAGCCTGAATGTTCAAGAAGTCCCATTAAAATCAAATTTGCACTCTCCAGCAGGATTTGAACCTGCAGGTATGAAAAATTTTGGGGGACTATGACAGGATTCTATGACTTCTCCTTGTGGCCAAGTTGGTTAAGTCATACTGGGTTTAATGGTAGCTTCCTCTCTCCAGCTGGAGAATGCAAATTTTTCCTTAATAGGATTTCTGGAACATTCAAGCAGGTAGATGAAAACAAATATACTGTTTAATAAAGAAAAAAAGTGCCTACTCAATTACAAGTACCCACTTAAAAAAAAAATTTTAAATAAAATTTCTGGATGTAAAAAATGGATTTACTGTTTGAGCAACAACAATGTGCTTACAAGAGGAACTTATTCAAATTAATTATTTATTAAGAATTGGTATTTTGCATCACCCACCTTTACATTCCGATCTGGCCAATTGCACAAGATATCAAAAATGTGGCCCTTGTCTTTGATTGAAATGAACAAGCCTCTAGAAAAAAAAAAAAAAAAAAAATTTGAAAAAAAGTTAACAATATTTATTGCTATATTATTTTATTATTTTTTATAAGAGCAAAAATTTAATTATGTCAAAATTACACTTGTGATAATTGGACAGCTTACAACATAGGAGAAAACATATAGAAAAAAAAAAAAAAAAAAAAAAAAAAAAGTAAATGTACTTTAATCAGACATTAATAACTTTTCTATATTGATGGTTCAAAGTATCTCAGTCATTTTATGACCAAACAGTTCCAATTATTGTCCCTCCAGAACTAATTCTATCAAATTTCTAACTCATGTTACAAAAGTGGTTTACTTCTGTCAATCAAAACAAGAGGTATTTATTTCTATAGAACATGGCCCTGCCTAAATTCCTTCTTTTTGAAGAAGCTATGTTGATTAGGGTCACCTTTCCAAAGGAGTAAAATAAACCTTAGCTGACTCTTCCTACCTTTTAGTTAAACTGTATAATTGTTAAAGCTTTATTTCTTAAGCTAGATGACCTTTTTTACACAATTTATTATAGACAGAGTTTTATCATTATCAATAATATCCAATTAGTCTTAAAAAGGTATTATTTTAAATAATGAAAAGGTCTATGCATATTCGAATTTTAAATTAGAAAATGCTTATTCTAAATCAGTATTAAGAGTGAACATTTTATGAAATATAGTAAAGTTTATTTTAATGAAATTTCTGCTACAATAATTTTCATATATTTTTCCAATTATAAATATTGTAAGTCAATGATCACAAGACTTTATGTTTACACCATTTGTACACTAAAAGGAATATTTAATTTAAGAGAAAGATGTCTTAATTATATGTCCTTATAATGCCCAAACATTGTTTATATCAACATCTATATGAACCAATGATGAGAAAAATAGTTTAAAAGAGTCAAAAGTATTATGTATTCTTTACAGTAAAACTTCCTCTATAAATGCTCAAAATATTTAAACCAAGGTGAAAGTCATTTTATGATGAATTTTGTGCTTGTAAAATCTGTAATACTAGAAATAAGCATATGCAAGTAAAACATCACTAAATAATGCATCTGGTGGCTGAAGGAATGTACAATTCATTCCCAACTGTAAATTTAAAGGGAAACATTTTTAAACCCAAGTAATAATTTGCATATATTTGATGGTATAAAGAAGTACAAGGAAAGGTGATTCATTCTTTCAACTAGATCTATTTGGGAAAAACAGTTATTCTTTCATAGTAAAAATTAAATAAATATTAACTGAAAGGAAGAAGCTTAGTTAAAAAAAAATGTTAAGCAATATGCCCAATCAAAAAAAACAGAAAAAAAAAAAAAAAAAAAAAAAAAAAGCTTAATGTCAAAATCTGCAGTACTTTTAAAAAAAGAGAACAAATTTTGATAAAATTTGGGAAGAGTACAGATTTTGATAATTAGGGGAAAAATGAACACTTGGTTAATATATTTCAATCAAGTCCAGTATGTATATAAAGTTTTGTGCTAATGCTATAACTACTACCTGTAGATATAAATGTACATTGTATGCCTATTGCTAACACTTAAAAATGGCTGTCAATTAAAATTTTCAACCCTGAAAGTTGATATTTATCACAAAACATGCAATTGAATAATAATTTAATAGAGAATTTATGTTTATTTCCCTCACCCCAAGCAAAATCACTGCCTTATTCATAGTCTTATCTTTAGTCATAGATAAAGTGTATTTCATTTAGTAAAATTATATTCACTCTGCTCAAGAATTTATAAGGACATAGGTGAGCATTTTCATAAACACAATACAATTAACTTTTGTTCAAAGTGAACATATGCACAAAAGAGCAGATTGATTTTTCATTTTTTAGTTTAGAAAATCAACATTGCACACAGTGTGAAAGCTGGGGTTTGATGTGATAAGTACTGATACAAAAAATTAGATTAATAGCCTTTCTCAATTTATGAGCCTTTAATTTTAAAGATCATCTGAAAAAAAATAAAAAATAAAAAAAAATAAAAAAAAATAAAAATAAAAAGTGTACAGAAATACCTAATTTCCACAGGTTTTTGCTTACAAACTAATTTCAAAATTTTACTATTCCTTGAAATAGTAAAATTTTGAAGTTAGTTTGTAAGCAAAAACCTGTGGAAATTAGGTATAAATCCAAATAAAGTTAATCTTTTGTATTAGATAGATTGAATGGAAGAATCACCATAAGCAAAATATGCAATTTTTTTTTTTTTTTACTGTATTCAATAAGTAAAAACTTTAAAAAAATTATAAAAGATTACAAAAAAGTTACTCAACAAATAAGATTTGTTAGATCATGATACTTATTATAAAACCCAGGTTGTGCGTGTGTGTGTACGTTTATATATTGGATCGGATTTCCTACATTTTTCAACCGATTTTAACAAAACTTCACAGAACTGCGTAAAATTACCTTGCGGTGGTTCTAACAGCGCCAAAAATTGGAAAAACAATTGTTTTTGCACAAAATTTGAAAACACGATTAAGAGCCATCACGAGAATGAAAGGGGGACAATTCATATCGAGTTATACTTATTATAAAACCCAGGTTGTGTGTGTGTGTTCGTTTATATATGGGATTGGATTTTTACATTTTTCAACCGATTCCAACAAAACTTCACTTTTTTTTGGCAGGTAGTGTTTCTTATTGTCTTGCACACTTTCTTTATTTTTACATTCAGAATGCTTTAAAAATTCCATTTACAAGACAATTGTTTATAATAAAATTCTATTCAATCGGTAGACTCATAATGATTGAAAACAATGTTTTTTTGAATTTGAAATTGACCAAAAAAAAAAAAAAAAAAAAATTAAGACATGCGTATCCGGCAACCTTAAACAATAATCTTTGTCAATTTTATTTTACAATCTTTATGATGGTCAATACTTGATCTATCTCTTACTGTTACATCCCTGGGCAACGCTGGGCTCTACTGCTAGTAATTAATAAAAACAAAAAAATAGATAAAAGTGTACATAACAGCATAATACTGCTGGGCACAAATTATAAGAAATGTTTTAAATTTGCATTATTTATTGAAAAATCACACAAAAACTACTGCACAATATAACATAATATAGCAAAACTGTTCAGTATAATTTCCCATTCAAGTAAATGAAGCTCTTATTTGATGGCACAATCATTTAGTAATAATTTGCCTGTGCCATGCGCATCTTGTCCATACACAATTTGTAAAGTTTCAATAAATTATTAATTTTATAAGGCTGTGCTCTAAGGCTTTCACCAGAATTTAATTCCAATGCTACGATTTTGAACCTGAAATTAATCTTTAAACTCATTTCCTCAAAAAACGGTAATGATTTTTAAAAAATATATTTTGTGTCAATATTTATCATGTCAAACCCCAACTTTTAAATTGAATGCTATACCATAGTTACAAAATCAACCTGCCCATCAACCTGTGCATACCTTTAAAAATATGACCTAAAACTGGAATAAAATCATGAGATTTCATCAATAATTTTTTTAAAAAATGTTCAGAACTTAATTCATGTAGAGTTCAATAAATCAGGTCATCAAATAATTTAAAGAAAAACAATATTTTCATATTAATACTAACCTGGAAATTTTAATTTTGACAATTAATATTCAATTACCTGTCAATTGATTTTCTTTTCCTTATGTGATATTCTGTTCTTACAATAAAAGGCATTGTTACTTATTGAATACAGACAGACATGCCTCGTGATACCATAACAGAATATCTCATTAGTAAGCAAGGGAAAGCAGGTGACTATTGTATTTTATTTCTTTTGTTTCAAGTTAGCTATTAGTTATTTTTACTTTTAATGATTTAAAAAAAAAAAAAAAAAAAAAAAAAAAAAATTATTACATACAATAGAATTAATGTATAGATAAAAATTCTACATTACTAATACAAAAAAAGCAGGTAAGTTGGGAAGGCAAGTTATCTGCTAATAATTAAGAAATAATTAAAAAAAAAAAAGCATATTATTTTGCTATTTGTGAGGATCATGTAGAATATATATATATATATATATATATATATATAATAAAATAAAAAAAAACATTGAAGTCAGCACTCAAAAACGACAGGCTGTTTCATGTTAGACACATTCATCAGGCCACTCTGGGTGTTGACTTCAATGTTCACTTTTATATTTACATACACTTTATCTCTGATATTGAGCACTTTATCCCATAAATATAAAAACATATATATATATATATATATATATATATATATATATATATATATATATATATATATATATATATATATATATATATAATAATTATGGACTCTCCCATTGTATTCAATGTATGAGGGTCAAGCAGCTCAGTTTCTAGGAACCAACAACCAGATACCAGCACATATGATTTGATTATAGTGGTGAAAGCTTTGTGCAGAAACAACCACACTATTTGAAGGGCTGGATACAGAGATCTGGTGCACTATGTGCCACAAGGTTCCCAAATGACCCTCTGCAGGTTTTGAATGCAGACTTATTGTTCTCCTAGACCAGTCTACCCATAGCTGGAGGGAGAAAACAAGGATTAATACCTTTCTCAAGGGTATTAGCACATAAGTGAATGTAATGGAATTTGAACTTGGCTCTTCAAGTCATTCATTTCTGTAGTTCACTGCTACTAACAAGCAGAAAATCTTTTTCTCCTGATGATGGCCATGTTGGCATAAACTAGTAAAGGAATCTAATTGAAATAATAAAAACAAAACAAAAAAAACAACACATATATATATATATATATATATATATATCTCCCCCTTTAACAAAAAGTTATTGACCAACAAGAAGTTTATTATACCCTAAGAGAATAAAAATAATTTTGAAAATATCTTGTAATTCAGATCAAAGGATAAAAAGGTTCCCCCCCACCACTTTCACACACAGTACAAATGCACCTTAGATCTAGGTTTAAGCAAACAGACTTATTTAGTAAACAATAAGATCACATGTTGAAGTAGGCAAAGTGCCAAACAATCAGTTAAGTAGGCAGGAATTCTAGGTAATCTACAGCCAAAAATATAAAAGATTCCATTAATAGAACCAACAGGAATCACCTTACTGAAGGTTAATTTCCAATATCTGTGAGAAAGAGAAAAGATTCATTTGCTATTTTGCAGTAGTTAAGGCAAGCAGAAAAATTCAATTCAATGTTGACAACTACACTTAAAATAACTCAAGCTAAAAGTGTTTTGTAATATGAAAGGTCAATGAAGTTTGTAAAGGCACTTGAAGATAATACTTTAAGAAAGCAGCTTTTACAGCCATAAATTTTTACAGCATGAATTTGTTGGGATATCGAGATCAGTACAAGATGAAAAATACATGCTGGTGTGGATTATACAAACAAGTGATTAGTAGTTGGAGTAGAAATTAATTTTGGAAATTGATGTGAAAGGCCTAGGTAGCCAAACTAATAAGCATTTTACTAGCCTACCAAAATATCTTTCTCCCCTAACAAAGCTTTTCATTATAATAAATTGAATTAACAAAGGAATTGTCTGGATTTAAACTCATGACTTAACCCTGTTAAATAGGGATCTAGTAAGACAAGAAGCACCCTCCCCATCACCAGAAAAATAACAACCAGCTGGCCCATGTTAGGTGGATGTTGGTCAAAATTCATTAATTTTGTTAATTGTAATACTATCCTCCAATTTTGCCTCGAATGTTTATTGGAGTGAACAATTCTGCTGACCTTTCCAATATGTGACTGGAGGATGAAGTCACGAAAACTTTTCTCTTGATTCTCTTACTATACACATACAAATCGACTTAGCACAACACTGAAAAGAAACAGGTCTCTTCAAAAAACGGACTTATATATAATAGTCCCAAGCTGTTTGTTTAGTAGCATATGGGTCATTTAATACTGAAATTAAATTTTTTGGGGACATTAGTAATTTCTTTTACAAAAATGTATTTCTGATAATTGTTTTTTATTTTTACAAAAATTTATTGCTGCTAATTTTTTTAAAATACAAAAATGTATTGCTGGTATTTTTACTATAAAAATATATTTTTATACTTTCATAGTGTCTTAACCCCAGTTTGGGCATTAACTATTTACCCATAATTGGGACACTAACAGGTGCTACTATCCTAGGTCAGGGTGGATATAGGAACAACAGCAATTAAGAGGTGGTTCCATGCTCCTTAAAACCTCCCAATCAGAGGTTTCCTGCCAGATGTAGTTTGTCATACCCAGAATGTATCCAAAGCCGTAGAGCAGTAGTAATTGGCAGTCTTCCACAGGTACACAGAGAGTAAAGCAGTTGACATCACCTTTTTTCATCACCTGTTGCAAGATACTGATAGAGAATCATTTTCTCAACTGAAGAAATTTTCCCCAATCTAAGAAGTTTTCATTTACAGTGTGCGAGACTTTGAGATCAAATTTGTTTGTAGGCCCGAGACCAAAGCTCCCCGTTTGAATTGTTGAACCAACTACCAGTCCTAGTATTGTTACACTTTTGTTGATGTGATATATTGTGAAAAAGGCTGACACCTAATTCACAAATCAGCTGTAGTTAGGCAGACCACACCACCACAGAATCAGAAAAGGGTAAAATGATCCATGTAACCCTTGATAAAAACTGTTGTTTCTTCAAGTAAGAAAATATCTGTTCCAAAAGTTTCTTCCTTCTTTACTTTTAATTTGGTCCCTTTGCTATTGAGGATGTTTCAACTAGCTTTACTTAAAACTTCCTCAGATCAAAAACAAATATGTGTGTGGGAAAAAAAAAATCAACTGTTGGAGTGAAACACTCAAGCAGTGGCACCAGGATGAGGAGGGTTACGTTATATACTCAGTCTGGATGTGCAGAAATGAGAAATCACAGAGTAGAGTTTGAATTCCAGTTTAGTTCATTACATTCACTTATGCACAAATACCTTTGAGAAAGATATGAATCCTTTTTCACACACATATGGGTAACTAGCAGGTCAGACTGGGCTCTACAGCCTTGGTTGGCAACCAGTTTAGGAAAAGGAAAACTAAATTCAAACAAGTCTGGAAAGGATTGGGTTCCATCAGGCTACTTGCCCAAGACACACCACAGCTGAAGTACATGTGGTGCCCCTATGACTGTATTGGGTTAATAAACTTGTAGTCATATATAATCAACAATGTTTATTTTGAAGCTGAATCACTTTTTTTGTTTTGATTGTTTTATCTTGCAAATTTAAAAGAAAAAAAAAATTACTGATGACTGGTGAATATAATTGTTAAAAAAAAAAAAAAAAAAAAAAAAAAAAAAAAAGGGAAGTATGTTTGTAATAAATTTACAAAGATTTTGTTACATCAACACCTATATGGTTCCTGCTGAGAAGACTAGTAACAATATGATAAAATATTTTGGTGAAAATAATTAGAAAAAAATTGAAAGATCTGCAACATGAACTATTCAGAATAACCATAGTTTTTGTTCTACTAAAACTATACTATGAAGCAGTTAGAATTAGAATGCTCTGAATAAACTGTGTTATTTTGTTTCTCAAGCAGATAGTATTCTTTTATCAAGATTTGAAAAAAAAAAACAAACAAACAAAAAAAAACAAACAAACAAAAAAAAAAAAAAAAAAAAAAAAACAAAAAAAAACAAAAAAAAAAAACAAAAAAAAAAAAAAAAAAACAAAAAGAGCTAAAACAGACCCCTTCTTCTAATCTAAATTTGTTGTTTCTGTTTATGTTATAGACAAGTGAAGTGTTTCTTGAATAAATAGTCCTACTATTGGCAAGAAGCTTTAAAGCTAATCACTTCCATAAAAAGTAAGTGGTTATTATTCTCACCTGGGACGTCTGAATAACAGACCATACTCCTGACAAGCCTGCCCAACAGTGGGGGTGTAGACAATGGGCATCATCTCTTCAACATGTTCAACGAGCACTCTGTAGAAGAGACGCTCATTCCTGTCAAGTAAAGCAGTCAAATAGATGTACTTATCCAGATCAGTGGGTCGACGCCTAAAATTCTCCAGGACACGATATGCTTGTTGGTCCTGAGTGATGATACATGGAGGCAGCAAGCCATGAATACCCATTATCTGACGTTCTTTTAGGGTGAAAGCCAAACTCTGAAAGTAGAAGCAAGTAGGTTAAAATAAACTATTGTGTATATGAATTTTCAGGATCTAAGCATTGCCCAAGATCCTTGGGTAAAATTTTTAAAAAATAAATAAAAAGACAGGATGTACAGAGACAGGATGTACAGAGACAGGATGTGTGGTTGTCAGCTAGAGGAACAGCCCAGAACACTAGCTATGAATTGGAGATATCAAAATCAAGCAAGTACAGAAATTTGAATATTTGGGAAATGTTTCAACAGAGGACAGAAAATGTAATACCAAAACTTGAAGATGCATTGGAGTAGCAAAAAATACCTTCCAAAAAGTTAAGCAAAATTTTCTTAGAAACAATGGTAAGAGTGCTCAGCTGCTATGTAATATCAGTGAATGCTGAACAATTTCCTCACAGATGAAGAGGAAACTTTAAGCAACAGATGTGGTTCTATAGAAGAATTCTGTGATTGAAAGGAAAAATAAAACATACTGTCCAGCACAGGGGATTAAGTTCACAACCTTCAGTCCACCAGCTACAGACTTTAGCTTTTAATGGAGACTAGCGGGGATGCCCGGTGTTACTCAGAAGATCTCTGAATAATAGTTTATTATTGACAATTTATTGATATTTTTCAGCCATCTTATGGAAATTAATTTTGTATTCAATCTTTAAAAAATGAATATCATTGTTTTTTTTTGGTTTGTTACAAAATAACTAAATTTAGGAAAATATCACACTACCATGCCCAGAGTAGGGGCTCAGAGGGCTGAGCATCTCCATATTTTTTATTCAAAAAGACATTTTTCAAATTAAATACTAACATGAATACTCTGTTAATGTGGTTTTCAAACAAATCAAATTGATTTATCTCAGTTCATTAATCTTTTTTCAAATTATTATTAATATAAAAGTAAATAACCTTAAATTAAGATATATTAATCATATTTAATTTAATCATTTTTTCAAGCAAAAACTATAGCAAGCCTTACTTCTTTGAAAAATAATCATTAACTATTTATTTTGGAGAATTTAGATTTTTTTTTTTTTTTTTTTTTTTTAAGTAAATAAATATCCTATTAGTGATTATTTTCTTTTTAAAGAAAGTGAAAGAAGCAAACATTTCTCCGTAAATGAATTTAATTACTATTTTGAAAGAAGTAAAATAATTTGTTTTACGAATTTAACTAAATTTTATTTAACTTTCGAAAAAAGAAGGCTCATTATAGTTTTTTGCTTTAATAAAACTTAATTTAAAATTTACTTTATGTTAGTTACAAACCAAAAAACAATGAGGTTTATTTTTTAAAGATTGAATAAAAAAATTATTTTTCACAAGATGGTCAAAAAATATTATTAAAATTGAAAATTCTTTTAAATTTACTTTGTTGTTTTAATATTCATTTCTTAAAAGTTACACTTTTATTTACTATAGATATGGAAAAAAAAAATTCAAGAAAATAGAAATTTTAAAAATAAATATAATCTTTTGAAATTATTAGCAGAATTAAAAAGTAAAAACAAACAAGAATAATTATTCCTGTTCATTTTTATTTTTTAATTCTGACAATTTTGAATACAGTCTAATGCAATTATTACATATTTTTAACTTTAAAATATCTTCATAAATACAAATCTTATATTTTTTTTTTTTTAACAAAAAGGTGGGCTGGATGATACCGAGCCTGTATACATATTTATTTTCTCTTAAATTATTGTAGTTTTTTTTAATTTTAGCCAGACACAGACAACTGTCCTTTATATATGTATAAGTTTCACCCCCGTTGACTGGAATAATATCACCTAACAGAGCTCTATAAAAGTGATTTTTCTCTCTAGTCAGTTTTTTGTCAGATTCCTGGAGAACCTTTGTCCCTCAACTTTAACCCCCACTCAGGATTTTTGCCAGTTGCTTGATTGCTGAGAAAGTCAAATAGAGTGGAAGAAAAGAGACTACAGTCAAAACAAGCAGAGACTATAAGAACAAAAATTTAATTTAAACTACAAATTCTAAGAATACCATGGATGGAGTATGTGAATAACAATTAGGTTTTAAGGAAAATGCAAATGAAAAAGGACACTAACAGTTAAAATCTGAAGGAGATAGCTAAAATTTCTAGGACACATAATGAGAAAAGATGGCTTGGAAAATTTGATACTTCATGATATACTGAAGGCATGACAGAGGAAAAAGGCAAATAACCTAACTAGCTTGCTTGCTTAACTGGACAGAACAGAGAAGAGGAAGGATAGAAGAAAAAATGTTGAAAGCTACAAAGAATAGGAAGTTGTGGAGAGTCATGATCATTCATAGAACTAAAGTTAAAACCAAGCTTGCAGTGCATATGGAAGGAGGGCAAAAATTTCCCAAAGAGAGATCAAAACACTGGAAAATTTTGCACACGTTTAATAGTCCTAATCTCAAATTTAATATGTACTAAAATACTTATCGATAAAGCAACATGTATAATAGTACATATTTAAGATTCTTTAAGAAATTCTTATAGATGTAGCTCAATTATAACATAAAACAGAATAATTTCAACAGAATTATATTCAGTACCAGATTTGGAATATTTAGCATGATAAACCCCTACCCCAGCACATGACAAACTTTTCTAAAAATTGTTTATGATAATCACAAAATATCAATATCGTGGTTTTAATGTGTTTGGTTTCTATTTACACTTACAAGAAATTAAGATTAATTAAGGATATATCAGTTATTCTGAGTTTAAGTAATTATTGCTATTAAATGACCCCCCCCCCCATATACATTAACACAAAAAAAAAAAAAAAAAAAAAAGATTTATTTTAGAACCGGACACAGTATTTGAGAAGTATCTATGGAAAATATCTCAAGGAAATGGCACTTAATGCTAGTTGCCTGTGACTTGCGATATCAGTCATCAACTAGCATTAATCCAAGGCAAAAAGAATAACAGCACTAGGGTAAGAAGTGAACTTCTTGGGGCTATACAGGAAATATAACTGCTAACTCTAGACTTGAAGAGGTCAAGATTTTATTTGTGAATAGCATTTCAGAGTTCAGTCAAAGATGTCAACAGTATAGTGTGGATGTAAACTTTAGAAGGAACTGGAAACCCAGTCCTAAACAGGATTCAATGGATAAACATCTACTCCTGTACAAAAGGATAGAGAGAAGTGTGAACCTGACAATAGGTTCACCTATCTACTCCTATCCATGATTCCAGTGCTTTGAAATTAAGCATTTTAAACTTAAGGTTTGGAAAAAAAAAAAAAAAAAATTTTTCTTTATACAATTGATGTACTTATCAATACAAGTATAATCAATTCACAAATTATATACAATGGAAGCAAACCTTCAATAGTAAAATGGAAAAAAAATTTTTTTTGTAAATACCTTACAGCGGAGTAATGGATAGCCGAGTTTGAATTCCAGTTGAATGCATTACATTCACTTACATGCTAATACCCTTGGGAAATGTATGAATCCTCTTCTCCCCCCAGCTATGGGTAAATAGCAGGACAGACAAGGTTCTAGAGCCTTGGATGGCAACTGGTCTACTGCAGAAAGAAATAGCAACCTACTGTGTGAAAAAATCTGCCTCGTCAGTCATGTATCAAAAGATACAGGATTGCCTGATGAGTTATGTGCTATGCGTGATACACACATGGCACATGATTGACTGACAATTCATAAATAATTCTAATAATTTATAAACCATCTTTGTATGATGTAAATATGCAGCCAAGCAATTTTAGATTGACATATGCCCAACTTTTCACTTGTTGGAAAGTAAAAATACTTGTGAAAAAACTAAGAGAACTTTTGCATATCTTGTCTATACAGTCAAAATGTATTCTACAAAAAAGGATTGTTGATCTATTAAAATAGGAAATGAATATAATCTTCAGAAAACAAGCAGGCATTTACAATACTGCCTGAAATTAACTCATTTCCTCTTCATCATACCAATGAAAGATACAAGTGTTTTTTGGCTAAAAATAAAAAAAAAAAAAAAAATTGCCGATTGTAAAAACAAAAACTCAAAAACAACAAAAAAAAAAAAAACAAAAAAAAAAAAAAAAAAAAAAAAAAACAAAAACAAAAACAAAACAAAAACAAAAAAAAAAAAAACAAAAACAAAAAAAAACAAAACAAAAACAAAAAGGTAAATATTATAAATTTAAATCTTTAACAGATTAGTGGGAACCCTCAAGAGGAAATTTAAATTGAAGCTAAATTTTATTTTTCATTAAGATAGGCAATTAGCATTTATAAAACAAACCTGAAAAGCTGATAATTTATTATTATTAATATAGAAAATTAACAAACATTTATAGGAAATAATACAGAATTTTTAAAATATGACCAAGTCCAAGATAAAAAAATTTCAGAGTTTCTTCTAGGGTCTTATTCTCTGTCCCCCATTTTCAGATGGTTCTTAGTCCCTAGATGAATAAACATTTGGAAATACCAGCTGCTGTAAGCTTGGATGTGTAGGGATGTGTAATGGATAATGGCTGAGAATTGAAAATCAGAGACACAAATTCTAAGCCCAGTCGGATTTGTTATATTCACTTACATGCAAATATCTAATTAGAACATTTATCAGTAAATCATTATCTTAAAAAAATTTTATAATCTAAAAATATTTTCTGGCTTTAAATAACCTGCAAAACATTGATATAAAATAAAACAAAACCCCCCAAAAAATAAAAAATAAAACAAAAAAGAACAAAAAAAGAACAAAAACAACTGACGGCTTTTTTGAAATAAAACTATCAGTGTTTTTTTTTTTTTTTTTTTTTTTAAACAAGTTTAACTGTGCCATTGAAAAATATAGCAGGATTAAAGTAATTTTGCAATTGCACCGTACGTATATCAAACTTTATGCTTCTCTACAATTTCTTGTTTATCTTCAAAATTTCCTGAATATTGAATTAAAATGTAAAATTAAGTAAATATAACAATTCATCCTCTTATAATGAAACTAATTTTAATATATGCATTTAAACATATCTTACTTTAAAAGTTTATTTATCTAAGGAAAACTAAAGATTTCCTTTAACATTATTTCTAGTATAAATGTAGTATTTCTGTGAGGTCACCAGAAGAGTCCTCTACACAGAGCAGGGAAAATTGTCCTACTTTATACTATGAATTCTTCTGGTTATACAAAAAAGTGTTACATGACACACACACAAAAATATATCCATCTCCATTGCCTTTTATATATGCAAATGTACTCATTTTAAAAATCTGTTGATTTAGTATGCTAAACTTAATCGATTCATTTTCTATGGCCTATCAACACTTTGCAGGTTATATAAAGCCAGAAAAATATTTTTAGATTATAAGAATTGTTTTTAGATAATGGTTTAGTGATACAAGTCTTACTAATTAACCCATAGCTGAAGGGGGAAGTGGATTCATACCTTTTCCAAGGGTATTTGTGCACAAGTGAATATAATAAACCCAACAGGAATTTGAACTGCTTTCTGATTAACAAAATCCAAGCCATTATCAATTACATCATCCTCACATCCAAGCTTACAGCACCTTATATTCCCAAGTGATCACCCATCTAGGTACTGACCAGGCTTGATATTGTTTAATTTCAGTGATCGTACAGAAACCAGTTTCAAGATAATGTAGCCATAAGCCTCTAATTTTCTTAAGATTTTGTTACATACATTTAGAGAGTATGTATTGGTGCACACAAGAATATAGATTAAACTGCATGACATTTTGGTCAATAACAGGTCACTCTGCTAGTAAAATTAAATTGCTTTTGATAAGCTTCCATATTAATTAGCATACAATTTTCTTTCCTGACATTCTTACAGGCAGCCAAACAAAATAATCACAAATTCATTATGCTATTTTTGACAAACTTTATGCATTTAGAATTCACCATATGCAGTAAGATGAACTTTGTACACATTTCATAGGAGATCGATCAATAAACTTGACAATGTTTATAATAATAATTATGTGGCTATTTGAAACTTACATGTGTCATAACAGGATAAAAGAAGAATAATCCAAATTTAAGAGGAGGATAAAAGTCAATCATCAATTTACACATTCAATAACCTTATATAATGTGCTAAAAACATCAAAATAAACCAACCAAACATTATATAGTCTAAAAGAGACCAGACTTTCAGCCAGCCTTTGCTAGGTCATAGAATTTTACAACATTTTAAAATGAAAAATATGCTAAAATTTCTAAAGTGAAGAAAGGTGATAAAATTGTATTTTCAATATTCTCATGTAAATCTGAAATCTGTAGGTTTTCAATGGCAATTTTTACATTCATTATTTTGACAGGTAAGCAAAATAGCAGGCTTGAGTGACTTAAATGTTTGAGAAATATTTTTTTTTTTACAGAACTACACATCAATATTTTTTGAATTTCAGCTAAAATTAAAATTTCCAGGCTACATATTAAACTAATACTGATTGAGTACTGATGATGGCTATCTAAGATGCAACGATGACAACTGACTTTTAAAAAAATGGGGGGAGGGGAGAGAGAGAGAGATGGGGATACCTTGTTTATTCTTGGGTTGCGGATGATATCAATACCCCGCGTCTTTGTTTGGCTTGCATGTTTGGTGGAAGATTCCTTCCAGTTCAGACCAGATGTTTTCAGCATGTCTGTTGATGAGGTATGAACTGTATTAGATGAGAGTATATTGGCACTAAAAGAAAAAAAAAAAAACAAAGAAAAAAGTTGACATTTTTGGTAATAAGTCAAAATTTTTAAGCAAAAATCAAAGAATTTGGATAAAATTATAATAGTAAATATAGAAATTATATGTATTTCTAAAGAATTAATTTATTTTCAATCCAACACTTATTACTTCAAATGTTATTACAGTGGATACTTTGTATTTGAAATAAACTTACCATTTATTAGGCAGTGTGCATTACATCTGTTGGCCTGTGCATTCGAGAAAGCTTAGGAAAGAAAAATGTGTTCCCTAGGTGAAGAGAATGTGCTTCTTTAAAAAAAGGGAAATAGAATCTTACTTGCTGCATCATTCTGTGGCCGAGTGGTAAAGCACACTGGGTAAAATGATGGTCTTCCCTACAAAGGGGGACATAGATTCAATCCCTGCTGGGTAATGCATTTTTCTTTACTAAGATTTTTTGAAATGTACAGGCCAATAGGTACAATACAATCAATGTAGAAAAACATCTTTGAATTCAAAATCATGGAGAAAGCAAAAAAGAAACCACTTTCCAAGAACAAATAATGGAAATTAACAAATATTAAAAAGGATGTGAAAACCTATGATCATGTATGCTTTATTTTTTAAAAAGATGTTATTTAAACGGTATACTGTATTGCAGATCATTATTTATTTGACCAAAAGTTAACCCATCACCTAATTCTTGACAAAAGCTTAAAAAAAAATCTATATGTTGAAGCCTTTCTTTATTATAGTGGTTTCTAAATAATCTAACTTCAAGACAGTCATACAAATTTTTTATGCTGTTGATTAAAAATAAATAAAAAATAAACAGACCATGAAGAGCCCTAGTTATTTTAATTTCAAAGTAGTTTTCTTTTTATTTTGGTAGGGTATAAGGCCTTACTTTGCTGTATCATGTAGCTCTACATACAAGTGCATCAGGTTCATTATATAGAGATAGTGAGAAAGTAAATAGAAAATTAAGAGATATACGAAAATAACTAGTACAAAGATTAAATCAAACTTTAGTCTCGTAAGTTACTACTACTTGTATAGAGTATTTTTTAAATCTTGTTTTAAGATAAGTTGGGCTAGTTTCTTTTACTTTCATATATATATATATATCAGTATAAGAAATTGATTGTAATAGAAACAGTCTAGATATATACAATTAAAGAAAAATAAATAAAATCCAGCTTAATACACTAATTATGGTAGGGTTTTTTGGGTTTTTTTTTAATTATTATAATCTACTGATGACAAATATGATGGAGAAAAATATCCCACTTCTAGATTTCCAATTCAAGTAGCCATTTTTTTTTCTGTAAACTATTTCTTATCCAAATGATTTGTTTATTCAGTCATATTTGAGCAAAAGTATGACTAACTGCAGTAGTCTTGTATTGTACATTTAGTATACAAAGTTACCAAAAAAGACTAAGTATTTGAATGAGTGACTTAAAACTTCACTACAAGGAAGATAATTTACTTTAAGAATAAGAGAAAACATACCAATTCAAACAGTTTAAAAATACAGATTAAAACATACATTTAAGAGTGGAGGGAAAAAAATAAAAATACTAGCAGTAGAGAATGTGTTACACACCCAAATAGTTGGAAATATGTTTCAAGATAAATGAGAGAGAGAGAGAGGAAGAGAGAGAAAGGAAAAATTCAAGTCAAGAAAAAAAGAAAAAGAAAAAAAAAAAAAGAAGTACCGACAACATGTAGTTTGCTTGATCAACAATACATCCACAGGTTGGATATAGAATCAGGACACTACCAACTGCATGTGTGCTGTATGTTGTTAGTAATCATGTGAGGTCACATGACCAGCTAGCTATAAAGCAGGAAATGAAGAGACCAAAATTTCTGCCATTATGAACTTAAGAAAGCAAAATAAATTAACTCACTAAAATTAGAAAAAAAAAAAAAAATTTTGTCAAACATCTGATTAAATAGCTGACAAATTGAAAAAACTTAAAGCTTCTTGGCTGGAATATTTAAGAAAAAAAAAAAAATTGCAAAAACATTTGTCCAACAAAAAAATTTAAATAAATTGTTAAAATCATGGCAGAATGTATAGAACTTGTGTTAAAAAAAATTCTTTAAACAACTTGTCTAATAATGAATCAGATGCTCATGACAAAACATTTTACAGATTGTGGCTGGCATGTCAAAATTGCAATACTCATGGTATAAATCATCAAAATCAGCAACAATGATTTGTATTATATATCAGATAAAAGAGAAACTAATGATTGCTGAGAAATTTATTAATTCATATATGGGCAGGAAAGAATATAAATGCAGCAAACTTGCATTTTACATTTAGTATGAAAAAAAAAAAAGAAAAAAAAAAAGATAACATGTGTGTGTGGGGGGGGAGAGAAGTATTTAGGTGAGTAACTTACAGAAACTTGACTACAAAGAGGACAATTTAGATTAAGAGTAAGCATATACTATTTATACATAGTTCCAGATATTTCAAGTAAATATGAATGGTTGTTGAGAGATTTAATATTCTTAAAAAAAAAAAAAAAAAAAAAAAAACAAAACAACTTCTTACTGACCAGACATTGTGAATAGAAATTAAACAGATGTTATAAACATGACAAAATTGATTACATGTAGAAACTTCAAGAATTTGCAGGGTCATAATAAACCTATTTAAGCATCTTTTCAATTATATGAAGATTCTGTCAGAAATTCCTTATTACCTCATCTCCAGAAGAAATAGGATTCATCAACTGATGTGTTCTCATTCCAATTTAATTTTGACATGACTGATTTTATGCAGAAGTTAATCATTTAAATTAAAATACTTGTAATAACAATTAGTCACCACATGCAAATTACTGTCTCGTTACCTAAATGATCCAGAAGAAACAATTGTTACCAAGACAACAAAGAACATTAGAATCTAATCTTTTGTTCAATGCTAGACAAAGTTGTTTTAGGAGGTCAACCAGAAAATTTAACATGTATTTTCAACATCTGTCCAGAAAATATCCAATGTTTGTAAATATCTCGAGAACCAGTTGTGCGGCCTTGATGTAACTTTTCACAAGCATGAGCATACAAGATTATTCAATTGGCAGTTAGTTAGATGCCATTGAAATGTAAGCTTGTTTGAAGTGTGACAATACAATTCACAATGAGCAAGAGTTTTCATGTTCTATGCACATTTTTTGGTAAAACATGGCATTAGCTAAATCTGTCAGTCTAAATTTAACTCATTGTAATTTTTCCCAAAGTTTGAAACAAACTTGTTTTGATTGAGATGAGGAATTGTCATACTTTATTTCAAATGTTGTTCTTGTAGATGTTATTACTGACACAAAATAGTTTAAATATTCTCAATGTATATTGACAATTCCTCATCTCAAATGCCAAAACAAAATTATCAATAGTGATAGATTTAAAAGGCTTCCTTTATATACATACATTCATACTTTAAAAGATTATTTATCTAGAGAAGATTAGATTTTCTTCAATATAGTTTTTCTAGTATGAACATGGTGTCACTGTAACAGTACCAGAAGAGTCCTCTCCATAGAAATGACCAAACTGCTCTGTCCTATGCTGTGGATTCATTTGGTTACATAGAAAAAAAAAAAAAAAAACTCCAAAAGTACACTTGTACTTTTAGACAATAGTATAGGGGATATAAGCATTGGTAAAAAGTATTATCATCATATGGTGGCTGTGAGTTCAATACCTGTATCAGATAGTGAAATTCATATATTTTAGTTCAGCAGGAACAAACAGAACCATATCATGTGGAAAGAAATAATCAGCTAATACAAGATCTGGTAAGAGCATACTTGTCTGAAATATATCTAATAAATCTAACAAAAAATGAGAAAAATAGCTTGTCCAAACCAAAGAATATTAAAAAATCTGTTGAAATACCATAGAGAAGAATAAAGAACACAATGTAGCAGCTGATCCTAAAAAGAGGACTTTGAATGATGAAAGGCACACTAAAATAAGTATGGGAGATTCCAAGGGAAGTACTTTAAAGTGATGACAGCATCACTGCCCAACAAAAAATATTTTTCCATTAATATTAAATGGCTGGACAGAACTTGAAAATATACAAAGACAATCTTTTCATTATTCTTAAGGTGATACTGAAAATGGCTAAAGAGAAAGAAGAATTTTCAGGAATTATGAATGATCATAAAAAGGACAAAGAAAAGCAACAGATTTTATGACATTTATAATCTTGCTTGAGATGAAAATCTGCAAGTTGAATTTTATTTTTTTTAATCATTTCACCCAAGCAATCGGATAATACCAAGAAGACACAAGGGGTTACTAGGAGTGAAAGAGAATGAGAAGACTTTAAAAAGGAACTGAAAACAAGGGATAAATCTCTACTCCTGTTCAAAAGCTGGGAAGGAGTGTGAACCGAGTAATAGGCAAACTTATCTACTCCTATTTAAAATATAAAACTGTACAAAACTCAATTTCCACTGTATATAAATTGCCTGTTAAATTAAAGGTCAAAATGAAGAGAAACTTGTCTTAAAGAAAAAGATGATAATCCAGTGTATCCATTTATTCAAAAGGTGGGGTTGTAATTAGTTTACTTTGTGAACTTTGGGTTAAATTCAGGTTTTTACTTTGTGGATGTTGTCTGAGCAATCATTTTATTGGAACACCTTGATCTTCTTGACAGTTTCTTTTTCTTAACTTAAGCCACTCCCAGTCTACCCTGTTTATTTCTTTGACCTTGTAAGGAGTAAAGCATCTATACAGAAATGCCAATACTATGTAAAGAATTGCATGGGATTCAACAAAATGGCTTCTACCCATTTTGTTGCACAGGAACTTTTCAGTATCCACTTGTGCTTTATTAAAAGTTCTAGAGGATCTTTCGTTTTTTGTTTTGTTTTTTAAAACTCAATGCTACCAGATACACAGAAATTATATTTCCAGAAGCTATCATTTGCAGATTATAACTGAGAACACAACAGATAAAACCATGTTACAAA